TGTATAACGGTTGTGAACAATACAACACTAATGAAGATAATTAATGTAACTTTAGTAACAATTAAAATTTTTGTCAGCGTTATATGTATATCTTGGTTTACATGTCACCAACCGTTATATTCCGTTTATCTCCTCGGTGTTTTATAAAGGACACGAGATTGACCCTATTTTTGAATGGATGACGCGAACGTGATTAATGGTGCAACTACAAATACTTTAATTCTTTAAGGCGAAACGGTATCGTGGTGGCGTGGGATTTGGAGTGTAGATAGACACGTGGAAATTCATTGCACGATATTTTAGAAATAAAAAAATGTTCAAAAGCTCGCAGTTCACTGACTGTCTTTATTGCGAAGCGCGGGAGAGAAAATTTCATTGAAATATCTCTAATAATAAGAACTTTGTGATTTTTTTTATCGAGGGAAGTTTGTTAATCGTGTTTTGGGCCCAAAGTTCCCTACTGATGTCTTCCGTTTTCACTATTAATTAAAAAAATAAGTTGAATTCGTATTTTTAAATGTCGGAAAAAGCTATTTTCCCTGTGGTCGAAATACATCAAAATATCTATATCGTATTATTTCAGATTTTTTGAAATAACTCCACTAGTTTGTTATGATTACTAATACAAAAATCGAACACAGAAAAATTTCTTTGACCCGGTAGGACTTGAATCCACGATCATGCTGCACCGTAGCATTGCTCTTACTAACTGAGTCACAGGTCAAATTACCTAGTCGTCGAAAATTCGGAATTCTCCTCTGTGTTTTTGCTATAGATCTTTGTACTGACTTTCGGTACTCGTCTCTGGTAGTGACATCTAGTGAGAGATTTTTGAAAAACCTCACCGCAGCCGATATCTTTACAGGTGTCACAACCGACGCAGATGTCGTTTTTCAGATTGAAGATATTTTGTGAAATAACTAGTTTTATTAGTTAGTTATTGAATCATAAAGTCTATTTCGGTTTAGTTCACCTTAGCGGTAGCGGTGTTTGTCAATTTTATTTTTCATAGGATAATTAATATTGTAAGGCGGGTTGAGAGAGTCATGCAGGGGGCAGTTTTGGTGCCTATCCTGTTTCTATCTCTACAGTAGAAATATGATTCCGTTCGTAATCAGAAGTCATGAAACTTTTAAATATTTATAATATCTATGTACATTATTTCACGACTTTTTTATTGTATCTTATTTCTTTCCAGCCATACTCTCATACGTGTCTACCCTTGGAACGACGAACAAGTTCAACGCCTTATTGGATTTAATGATCCTGATAACCAAATTGAAATCCTAAAGGCTACCAGAGGTTTCAACGACAGTTCCGACCTCCTGGTGCCGCCTGAGAAAATGGAATTTCTAAATAACTTTATTACATCTAATAAACTGCATTCGCAAGTCAAGACTTTAAATTATGGAAGGTAACGTGGTTTTGTTTTATATGTCCTTTTTGTATGTAAATTATTTGTATGTTTAGAATAGAAAAAAAAATGGACATTTATTGCAACGCCACAATACATAGACAAAAAAATATTGAAAACACTTAGGCAAACAAAACAAAATAATAATAATTAGTAAACAAAATAAAAAATACAAAACAAAAAACAACATAAAAGACAAAAAGAGACATAGAGCAAAAAACAAAATATAACGACTACAAATTGTACAGTCATTTCTGCGGTTGTGGCGTACGTAAAAGGACTTCATTCAGCTTATGCCACAGCAATAATTCTCTGTGGCGTTCGTTTTCAATGAAACCTGAGAGTGACAGACGTGTGTGTCGCAAAATAAAATAGAAAAATAAACTATTTTTAAGATTTAAACAATCGTTTTAATTTATCATTTTCCAGACGACTGGAATTATCAGAACGCTCACCAAGAAGAAGGCAAATGGGGAATCTTATTTATCAATACAATTCTTATGCGGTTGTAAGTATGCAGACTATAAAATAATATTAGTATATTAATAAAATGTAATATTTAAGGTTATATTGAATGTCACGACGTTTCACCACAATATTAAATTATTTTTGTGAAATTAATTCACTAGTTTGTTACAATTATTAATACACACTAAGAAAAATCTTTTAATCCGGCTGGATTCGAACCAGCGTTTTCCAGCAAACTATGCTAGACGCTATGCCAACTAAGGCACCTTACGAATTTTTCTATGTGCTTGTTGCAGATCTTTGTTTTATCTACTTTTTGTTATTGTTTGTAAATGTTTAAATTTATATTTTAAAGAAGTAGCTATTAATTGTTGACTTGCAAAATATAGTATATTATACATTTTATAGCATATCATACGGCTTTTTCTTTAATTAAAAAAAGTAAAAAGCAAAAAAAATGCGTATCTTTTTTTTATCATACATATTTCGTGTATCGAAGGTTATTTAATTGTTTTCAGATTGAATCAACTATACTAAGATTGGCTAAACAACACCCAGACTTAATTCAAGTGCAAAATCTGGGCAACACTTATCAAGGCAAAAGAATGAATCTTGTCAAGATATCAAAAAACTTTAAAGCGAGAAATCCAATTATTTTCATCGACGCAGGTAAAGTCGTCATTGGTTTATTTTTGGTCAATTAATCATCTAGACAGAAAAGGATAATAATCTAACAACTAACTTCAATTAATTTCCAACGCAGGGATCACATGTTACTTAATAATGTAATTGAACTGTAATTGCAGGTATCCATGCCCGTGAATGGGTAGCTCCTGCAATGGCTTTATATCTCATAAACCGGCTTGTTAACGATCCTGAAGCCCGGAATAGAGAGTTGAATGGCATCGATTGGTACATTCTGCCCGTGGTCAACCCTGACGGATATGAATTCACGCGCTCCGCCCCAGAGGTTAGAAGTAATCCATATATATAAGTAATCAATTTTGTAATAATACTAAAGCGTTCTCTGGCGACAAAGAAATGGCGTAAACAATTATATATTTTATTGGTTGTTAAAAAGTTCATACATGGCGATAAAATAATACGTAAAGTAAAATGCGAATGATTAACAAAAATTTAGGTATTAGTTGCCGAAATGAGCACTGCCCGGCCGCAATGAAGGCTAGTTTGTACTTTTCATTCTGTAGCTTTTACCAGAACTAAAATTACAACCTTTCTTGGAATTTATGTGCAAAATTTAATTTGAAACTTACCATGAGCTTTTCGGTGACGGAAAACATCGCAATGTAACCTGCACGTCGAAGAAGTTTCATAACCCTCGGAAAACGTGTGAATTCTCTAACCCGCATTGAGTCAGCGTGGCTGACTAAGGCCTAAAACCTGATCGCCTGAGGGGAGACCCGTGAGTAGCAGCGGGATGTATACATGGGTTGATGATTAATGATTAAATCTCGAGTGTTATTTTGTTATATATGTCAATACACATTTTTAAACTACTTTTGCTGTTTAAAAAGTAGTAATTAGAACTTTTTATATTTGGCAACATCATTTCATCAAGTGCTTCATTTGTATCATGTTGCAGAATCGTCTATGGAGGAAAACTATGTCTCTTAATCAAGGTTGTTTAGGAGTGGATGGCAATCGCAATTATGGTTTCAAATGGGCAGTGAGTGGCGTCTCTAGGGATCCCTGCAACCGAGAGACCTACGCAGGGCCAAAACCGTTCTCCGAACCAGAAACAAGATACGTTGGAAATATCATGATGGACAACAAAGATCGAATTAAATTGTACGTTTCCTTACACTCGTATGGACAGTATCTTGTTTACCCATGGGGTTACACAGACAAGGCAGTGCCTCTGACGTGGAAAAAGTTGGACACTTTGGCGCATAAAGTGTCTAACGCTGTGCAAAGAGCTGGTGGCATGGCATTTAAAGTAATGATGGCCGGGAAATGGTATCCAGCCGCTGGAGGCAGCGATGATTACGCTTTTGGCGCAGCAGGCGTGCCTTACTCGTACACTATGGAGTTAACTGACGATCATGAGTTTTTATATCCAGAAGAATTGTTAATAAATACATTACCAAAGTTTTATCATGGCTTCAGAGCAATGGCTGATCATATCCGAGAAGAGTTCAGTAGGAAATAAACAAAGTGTGTAAGTGAAATTAATTAAATGTGAAGACTGACATAATTTCCAGAACATGGTGTATTTTGATAATAGTATGCTTAAGCCGCATAACTATTATGTTATGTAATTATAATTATACTTAATTGTTTATTTCAGTCCGTAGGTCATAGTAGACAAATGCTATTCATACTTTTGAAACATCAAATGATTTTTAGAAAAGTAAATAAAAACCAAATAATTCAAATATCACACAAAAATAAATCAGATGTACTTTAAAAAAAATTGTGCAATCATTTGTGGCTCTAGTGAAAAGGGGCACAAGTAAAGAAAACCAACTTTACAAGAAAATGCAAAAAACACTTAACGCTTAATATCGTATTAATTTTTAACTGTTTTTCGCGTCTCTTTGAAAAGTTAGCATCTTTCACTTGTACCCCTTTTCACTAGAGCCACAGACATGCTCTACCTCTGTGGCAATTTCGAGGCACTGATTGTACATTGGTGTAGCCATTGCTACCCTGTTCAAGTCTTTCCACAAAAGAAGCTACGACGACGTCTTACGATGGCACTGATCGTGTCAATACTTGAGTGAACACGTATGAAGACGCTCAGTCGTGAGCGCTAAAATGTCGCCCGAGGCCTATGAACTGTTTGAATATACTGTTCCATTAATTAATATACGCAACAATGCAATATCATCGGTATAGCTTGTCTGTCGAAGGTCGAGGTGGAAGTAAAAAGCTGTTTAAAAAACAATAAAACCAATAATAAATATATGTATTCATTTGATTATTGTTTTAGCTGTTCTTTTTTATAGGTACCTACCTTTTGCTACTTTACTTTTTATGTAGCTATTTATAAATTGATTAATGTTCGTGTAACTTCTTTAATCCACGAATTATGTACATGTATAATATACTCGTTAATAATGATATGTCAAACAAATACATCAATCGCCTGGTCTCAAACTACGGAAATCCTGTACTATGAATACCAGAGCAATGGAATTCACTCTGGACCACTTTTCAGAACAACCTGCGGAACCTACTTAGATAAGTTAATTTCCCAAATTGGTCCAACCTAGAATTTAACCCGGGACCTCTTCATCTAGCGCCCAGAGTATTAACCATTGGGCCACCGAGTCCGTCAGTATATGTATATACTGTACTATTCTGTACTTCGAGTAGCTTACTGTAGGTACTACTTAGGTACGTCAGAAATTATTGGTTGTCCATAAAAACTTTCATCCCCTATTTCACTCACTTTAAGATTTATTTTTGTGACAATGCCTATGTCCTTCTCCTAGGTCCGATCTATCTCTATACCAAAATTAATCAAATTAGGTTCAGCGGTTTGACGTGAAAACGTAACAGACATAGTTAGTTACTTTTGCATTTATAATATTAGTTTGGATTGCAATGGGAAATTATTGCAGAACATACATGAGTTGATCCACACTAAAAACTAAATAGTTAAAATGATTTGGAAGATACGTGAAAAGAGTAAGGTTAAGTATAAGGCGATTAACACACTGCCCTGCACCACGCAGTAGAGGTGGGTGATAAATAACGTCACGACGAAAAAATCACGATGACCCGCCGTCAAACGTATCACCGTGACGACGTTCCAAAGTCACATAGGTGTTCCTCCATTCCAATAGCTATCCCCGTCACTCACATCACGATATACGTATTTGAGACAATGCGCGATCTCCGTTCCGTGGTGACTGAGCGCGCCACTCGTTGTAGTTCTCTTCAAATCGGGCCATTTCGGCGATGGGAGTGAATGAAATAGGATGACTTTCTTTGCTCACTCAGAAGGGTCGTAGGTGCTTATTACTACTAGAAAGGGCGGATGAAAAAAATCTGCAGCGGTTATTATAAACCTATTTATGAACAAAGTAAAATATTTTTGTATACTTGTTTTATTATAGGAAGAGTTGGTATTTTATATTTATGTATAATCTACTTCGTGTATTCTACTAGAAATATAATTACATTACACTTTATTGCTATTTTTAACAATCCAAAGATTCGCATTAAATAAGTAACAAACACAATTACATTAAATACAAAATCAACTTTTTGAATGGAATTGAAACTTATTACAAAGGGAGTAAAAACTTAAATCATTGTATAAAAAACGGCTATAAGTATTAGAAAGAAGCCGCTGGCTAAAACCGTATATCGTGATGTAAGTTATAGGGGTGACAAGGTCACGGAAGTAACAGTCGTGACAAAATCACGATGATTTATCACCGTGATTTTTTTGGAACCGGAACGACTGTCACGGCGATAGAAATATAACGCTATTCCCCATGTCTACCACGCAGCGGAGTGCGCTTGACGACCGCATCCGCATTCCCGCGCGGAGACGCGTTGTACGTACGGTGCGGGTTTTCTATGTGAGATACTTCGGTACAACGTTAAAAAAGCACACTGTTGCGTGGCGCGAAGCAGTGTGATAATCATCTTAACCTTTGAAAAACTTTAAGTAGTTGTTTGTACGATAATAGTTACAATGATATATTAACATCAAAATAATCTTTACTTCATAGGTAAGCATTGTTGCACTTGAAATCGTCACAATGATTGGTTAAACTCTACAGCTCATTCGTAAGGCAGATTGCCTAGAGAATGAGCTGTAGAAGAATGAACAAGAAACTCTGGGGGTTGCTCTTTGTAAATAACATTTGTACACTTTCAACATTTACAATATTTATGTTTTCAACCTCCATGAGGTAAACAGGTTACTACCACGGATTTTTGTCATCCAATAACGCAGAAGTTGTATAATAACCTTACATTGTTAATAACATTAATAGAACTGTTAATGCAATGAATTTAAGTATCTAAATGGCTAGAGATCGACTGTCGCAAAAGCTTTCCAATGCACTTGAGAATATTCACAGGTATAAATGTAAAAGCAATCATTTTGTAAGAAATTATAGTACACCTGTAGTGAAGGCAATACACACAATAGTACATATAATGAGTTTATTGTAACTAGGCATTTATTTCTGTTTATTTAAATAGAATAAAGACTACATTAATAGCTTCAGGTTTTCGATTATAAGGTCCGTTTTAGACGATAAGACGTTTTGGTATCGCGCGCTTACAACTATAACTGCCTCCGTGCTCTAACGGTTACCACGCCGGACAGCCACGCAGAGGTCCTAGGTTTCATTCCCGGGCCGGGAGACATATTTGTATAGCCTACATTCATCTCTCTCGTGAGTTTGAGTGTAATTTGTGATTGTCTATGTGTGTGTCCATGGCACCCGCGACACTGAGTTTCCATAGAGCGGGATTATGTTGAGTGTCTGCTTCGCTTGGATTAATGACGTGAAACACTCAACATCTTTCTAACTTTTATACGATAGGCTTAATACGAACGAACGTATCGACAAACACGGTGATTCCTTTATATGCGCGCTGAACGCATGTCTCTTGTCATCTCTTGTCATACGGGTAGCTTTTAGAACTTTTTGTAGAACCAATTTTTGATCCAGTCTGAAAAAGTACTACTAGGTAGTTCTTCTGATGTATCTTTTGTGTTGATTGAACTTTCGTATATTTATTATGATGTTATTGAATTTAAATTACATTTCAAAATTAAAACGCTTATAACAAAAAAAGAAATCGGGATTTGATTTTTCCATGTAAACAATGATAAAGTTGAAAGAGCTGTTCTAAGTATCAAAAAATGCACAACTCGTAGGTTCACCCCTCGCCTAAGACTAATTTTGATGGTTGAACTAAATAAAATTAAATAATAATGATTTAATAACTTCATTGGCAACCGCAGCGATCATCACGTTAGGGTTGAATAACACTTATTCAGAGTGAGCATTCGTTTTGACCAACTTCGAGAAAGGATGAGGTTCTCAATTCGATTGTGTTTTTTGCGTTAATGTTAAGCGATTACTCCGACATTTGTGAACCGATTAAGATGATTTTCTTTTCGTCGGGATGCCTCAATATCGTCCAATTCAAATGTTGAAAAAAAATTTCTACCTCTAAAGGTGACAAATTAAGGGATGACTTCGGTTTACTGAATTTCACCTACTTTTCGTTAATCGATTTCAATAAAACTTGGTACATGGAATTCCAATGAAAATAAAATATTATGCTGGCCCTGAGCTGATTTGATGAGGAAAATAATAACTTACACACTCATAGCCCCGCACTATGAAACGCTGTATCGCGGGTGCCATGGACACACACATAGACAACCACAAATTACACCCACGAGAGAAATAAATGTTGGCCATACATATATTTCTGGCAGTCCAGCATGGTAACCGTTCATCCACAGAGGCAGTTGAAATGGCAGACATATGAGAGGAGTTACGAAAACAGTATTTTTGAATATTAATAAACAGAAATCATGTTTTGCATGCCATCAGTCACAATTTTATTATTAGGACATAATTAGATCTTAGATAATCTAGGATTACACGGTTTTTGGTTCAGGGTTATCAATATCATTTTCTAATTGGTTCTAACATGAAAATATGAAAAAACATTACTTCGCTGCCAAAAATTGTTTTTGTGACCAGAACAAAGTAAGTAAGTAAGTTGAAATTTGCATACCATTAAGAAAACGTACGAATTTTCGGGTTTCATTTAACGACAAAAATTGAACATTAATATTTCAAATAGGAAATGAAACTATTTTTCCGGATTTAAATCGCGTATATTTGTTTTTTCAAACAAACCCAAATCCGGAAAAATAGTTTCATTTCCTATGTGTAACAATCGCGAAAACCTAAGAACTCGATATTAATATTTCAAATCAATAGTACCTATATTTCAAGCAAAATTCTACAAATTGATGAAAAAATGTAATTACCAACACGTAGCTATGTAAATATCAATGTAACAGCTACAAAAGCAAAGTTTCAGGGGTATGGTTAATACCACAGAACATTAAATACAGTAGAAGTGGTTGATTAGCGTCAGACGCGTGCCAACTAAAGGTCTCGAACACAGACATATATCTAAGATACACGCCGCCAGTACAGCAATTTGTATGAAAACCAAGCGTGCCACATTTTTTGTACCTGCTATGACGTCACAAGAACTATTTAGTGATGGAAACCGCTCGCTCTGAATCGATTGATTGAACGGAATACGCGTAAACACGCGTATTCCATTCCATTGATCGATTCTAAATAGAATGACTTTTGTTCAAGTATTTGTATCAACAAATAATATTTGTAATCCTTTGTTAATACGCCATAAATATCGATCGAACACACTTTTGTATAATGCATTCAGTTTTGTGGTACGGCCGCTAGTACATTCCTTTGGCCAAATTTAACATTTAGTGACGTATACGCTAGGCAACACTGTTCTCGATTCTGATCGATTTTGAAAACAAAGGGACGAAAATTATTATGACCTTAGCAATATTATACAAAAATATTCTATAACTTACCGTGTTATACCTTCCGTTTTGTAGTATATATTATCAGTTGTATCTGTAATTTCGATAATTTTTGCAGTGTAATCAAAGATAAAAACGATGTCCAGCGTTAAATCCACAGACTGGAGTGGTAGAGAAAAAGACTAAATTTTTAAACCTCGATGCAAAAAAGAGGGAGTTTATGTTTGAAGACTATTTTTTCTGTCTATATTTGTGTGTGTATGTCTATAAGTGGCATCGTAGCTTCCAAATGGATGGCTTGATCTCAAAGAGGTTTTTTATTTGAAGGCTAATTTCATAGGGTTGGTTTCTAGGTTTGATTATTATCTTTTTTTTTTAAAACATCAAGTGACGGGACGAACAAGTCGTGCGCCTGATGGTAAGCAACACGCCTATCCATCTGCTCAGCTGTTCAAAGATCATTAGCTATTTTCCCAATTCATATTGGGAGCTCACTCACAGAATGAATATTTTTTTACTTCTGAGTGTCGGATGGACTTTAATGCTGTAAATGGAAATCCGATGACAAATAAATAATATATGGTAACCTTGATTTGATGATGTGACCAGGTCCATCTGCAGATCATTTCTCCCCAACTATTTACAGTAGAACAATCGCGTTTGGATAAATTAAATTGGTTTCGAGGAGTTGTTCGCTTTCAGATGCTTAATTTAACTTACTGAGCTGAACTTATTGAGTTTTTGAAGTACATTGTTTTGTGTCTGAGGTTTATTATACTCTGTATGTTCATCGTGTCCACTGCTTATGATCTGATCTGTTGTAATATTACCTACTAAATGATTAGGTATTATTATCTGTCATGTTATCTCTATTTTCAGACTTCATCATTATGGTACAACTCGTTAATTGGCGTCGCAGATTTCGTAAATGTTATTTTGAGCCTAATGAACAGTATGTGTTGTATTTAAATTGATTTGAACTGGTACATTCTACATTTACTTTATATAGCACACAGCAAAGTAATATAGAGGTATAATAAAATAGGGTTTCTTTAATATAATAATAATAATAATGTAAGACCTCTACTAGCAGTAGTAGAGCAGTACTCCATGCGAAGGAGTTTGACCAGGGTAGTACTGCCACCTTATCTATTTCTGCCACCAAGCAGTAAAGTGAGCTTTATTGCCTTACGGTTTTGAAGGGTAAGTAAGGTTGCTGGTGAAATTACAGGTACATGGGACTTGTCAACTTATGTCTCAGGGTGACGGGCGCCGTAACATGGCCCATCAAATCTTTGCGGTTTAAAGTGCCAGTCAGAACTAGCACTGCAACTGTTATGAATAGGCGTGTCGCTTACCATCAGGCGCACGACTTGTTCGTCTCATCACATGGAATCATAAAAAAAGCCTTTTATTCCAAACGGTCATAAATTAATAATGTGTTACTTAGTGACGAATTTATAAAAGTTGTAATTTGGAGGAAGGTATAAAGAAAAAGAAATACAAAAAGATCAAGAATTGCGTACGGTGAACAAATAAAGAAGAACTTCAAAGTTAGCAGTTATAAAAGGGTCAAAGAACTGAATGCGGGACGTAATGAATCAAGGAGTTTACACCGATAGGAGCCTGGCTTATCAATAGGAAAATGTATAGTATTGTTTGTGCACACGGTGCACACACTGACTATTTATAATAAGGAATTTTTAAATATATTTTGATTATACCAACTTCTTGTTGAGTTGGAAACTTAATTGTCGAAAATAGATCTCCACAGAACACGAGGGTCGGGTTGTTTCGCAAGCAGAACCCGACAAAATTGCCGAGTCGATTACATTTCTCATAGGATCTCTACCATACCGGCGCACTTACCGGAACTAAAAAGTGAGAATAGGAAATAGTAGCCAAAGTTTATATTTAAACAAGTAATAACATCATGTTAACCCAATTTTCGTTACAATAACATTTTCTCAAACATGTTCGGAAATATTTGCATTACTTTCAAAAAACGAACACGGAAAGTTTGTCATTTAGAAGACCGTGCGGCTTCTTCCCGGCCAAGGTCTACAAAGTAAGTATGAAAATCTATTACTTCTTTAAACTTTTAAATCTATCTACTAATAATGAACTACGTAAACAGATAAAAGAAAAGCTCGTACAACCAACTCTCATCCTGTGTTCATATCTGCGAGAATTAAAAATACCTACCTGTACGTACAGCCTACTTAAAAAAATGGCGGTAAACTTGCGGTAGGCAACATTTAAACTAAAGTATTTTGGTATCTTTTGTTTTTTCGTCTTTTTTGTATTTTGGTCGCGAAAATGAGTGTTTGTGAGAAGAGCGATAAGGAAAATACAGTAATAGATACTCATTCAAACACATCATCAGAAGTTCAGCAGATTGCTATTAATGTGCCTGGAAAAGCAATAACATATTCTTTTAGCAATTGTCCTAACACATTAAATATTAATTAATATTTTTTTTACTTTTTCTATTAAATTTACATATATTATACATCTTCCTCTATTTAGTCTTTTATTATTTGCTCAAATTGTTTCTGAAAAATACTGTGCTTGCCTCGGCGGGAATGGGGATTGCTTGACTCGTACTCCCTGGCGCTCGTTCTTGTAACTCATACTCATCCAGCAATCCTTTACTTCCCGGCCTCTGCAATAATGTACTATTTCTAATTGGTTCTAACATAAATACATAAAAAAATCTTTACTTACGCAGGTAAGAAATTTTTTTTTAAAAACTTCGCTTTTCTGATGAACTTTGTACCATTAGGAAAACGTAGTAATAAAGATAAAAAGGAAACATTATTTCAAATCTATAGTATATTTTAGCCAAAATTGTACAAATTGATAACAAACACCCTAGTAATTTGTAGATTTGCGAGATAATGTCAATAGGTACCACTATCTAGCAATGTAAATACCACCGTGACATCTATAAAAGCAAAATTTCAGGGCCATAGCTACTGTTTTCTACATACTTTCTGCTAAATTAGGTAGAAAACAATACTGTAAAACCAGAACCTTTTTGAAAATTTATCACATGGTTTAGTTACACATAAGTCGCAATTAAATGAACATTTTTTAACATCGACTTATACAGTGTTACTCAAACTTTACTGAAAAAAATATAAATTAGACTATTACATTTATATTTTTAGATTTTATGATAGAGCAGAAATGGCTGGAAATTGAAAAATTGCTGTAGTTTAAAATTGATTAAATCAAAGTTTAATGAAAAAATAAAAAATCAACTTCTTCAACTAAAGTTTATGAAATTTGAAAAGAAAAGAACGCAAAATCAACCTTGAACTCGACAGACCTGTATTAGCAAGAAATTAGAACAAATTAATGAGAAAAAGACCGTTAACTAAACAGACTTTTGAAAATAAAACCCTGCATAATTTTGGAGATTTTACTACAAACACAATTAAAAAGTGTCTATTAATCAAGGTATTTTTTTAAAATATTAGCCTATCTAACTGGGTGATAAAACTTTCATAGATTTCTCATAGATGGCGCTACGACTAAAAAGTCATTGAAAAACCAAATACAAAAGACAGATGACAAGCACATAGAAAAATTCGTGAGGTCCGCTGGTTAGTTCCGTGGCTTAGTTGATATAGCGTCTGGCACAGTATGCTAGAAGACGTCGGTTCGAATCCGGCCGGATCGAAGGAATGTTCTAAGTGTTCGATCTTTGTATTAATAATTATCCTATTAAAGTTAGTTAAAATATCTATACAAATTTATTAAAATATTTATTAAATTGACTCACAAAAATAGTGTTAAAAAAAAATTACTAAAAAAACCCGATTTTCATTTATTGGTAAAAACGTGCTTGATCTGTAGACACTTTTGATGAGTGAACATATTTAGTTATTAATGTATAATATATATAGTAGGTATGTTTCGTATAAGAAAATGAGACCCTTTTTAAATTATTCCGTTTTTTAATTTCTTCTTTTTTAATTTCAAGGTTTGAAATCAATTAGCATTGTTTTATGACATGTGAAAGTTAGAGGCTGTACGTTTTACTTGTTGTAATAAATTTAGAATCAATTATTATTTAGTATTTAAACGCTATGGTGCGCCTAACGTTCTGCGTGTACGGTAAGTAATTTTATACTGTAAATATGAGGTCATATTTAATTTGTGATCGTGACTAAGTTCAAATGTGTCAGGGAATAAAAATAATAAAATCTTAAAAATGGATTGCCAAGCAATGCACCATAGTTCAAGCTACAAATATAATGACATAAACTTTGTTTGCAATATTCTACAAAGATTGTACGACAGTGCACGTAAAGTCGCACTCATCATCATCGTCATCAGTCAATCAGTCCCATTTATTTTTATTTTTTTTTATAATACCAAGTGATGGGACGAATAAGTCGTGCGCCTGGTAATAAGCGACACGCCTGTCTATAACAGTTGCAGTGCCACTCAGAGCTTCAAATCGCAAAGATCTAAGGGGCACTCCCACTGCGCCCATCACTCTGAGACATAAGTTGACAAGTCCCATGCGCCTGTAATTTCACCAGCACCCTTACGCTTTGAAACCGGAACGCAGTAATGTGGTCTAAGCACGACACTCAACTTTAAGAACCTTCAATCACGATTGCATAAAATATTGCTGAATTTAATCATTTCAAATCAATTAAACATTATTTTAATCGTAATTTCAAATTTATAACTAAAATGAAAAATCCTTACAAATTATAATACTAAGTTCGTATCGTTTACGTACTTCAAATAAGATAATAATCAATCAATACAAGTACTAATTAAATTCGTTACGGTAACACAAAAATATAAGAATATCATGGTAGTAAAAACACCATTGTATACAATAACCTAATAAGGTAATGATACCTTCTATTTTCAGGTATTATCATTATGTTAAGCAACATTCATTGCAGTCGCAGATTTCTCAATATAAATTATGAGCCTTATGAAAAGTACGTAGTCGATTTCAATTTAAGTCATTTGGTGCAATCAAGTGTAATAAAGCCTATTGTAACAATGTCTCACCACTCTTAAAACTGTTCTTTCTCTCAATGTTCTGCTCAATGATCATGATCGCATCACAATTTTTAATACTTTTTGTCATGTTTGTAATATGCGTAAAAATATACCTGAATGTTGCGTCATCACTTTTATAGCGGGTGTTTTTAAATTACAACGATGGTAATAGGGAGGGTAGTGTGGTATAAATATGACCGGTTTGAGCGATCTCATTTTTCGACTCATCAAATGTAAAACATTTATTAACTTACTTCCAATTTTATTGATCGAATATGAAGTATGTATAAAACTTATTCCAGTCATACATTAATACTACTGACGCCTAATGATGAGTATCAACTCAATGACCTAAAGAGGCTAGGCGAAATAGATCAAGAATTAGATATATTAAAACACAGTGCTGGAGTATTAAACAGTTTGGAAGTACTTGTGCCGCCAAATAAGTTGAACTTTCTCCAAGAATTCGCTCGGAAACGAAGATTGCAAACTAATGTCAAAGCAAATAATTACGGAAGGTAATTTAATTTATGATATATTTAGTCAGAAAACTATTTATATATTTTTTTATTTTGGCATCCTACAAAAAGTTGAAACTAGAAGCTGCAGAGCCTTAAACACCACCGCAAGTTGCCTGCTTGTTAGTATTCTATAGGATATGAAGAGTGTGCGAGGAAATTACACGATTTAATTCTGCCTTCTCTTTTCCGTCACAGGGGGACTAGGCGTAGGCTGGGGGTTCCATCCCTATGTTGTGGACATTCCAAGAATTCGTATGAAGCTTTACGCTTCTATATTTATATGGCGAACGCTTATGGAGCGGAATTCCCAGCCTGCAGACTTGTTCCCTGAACTTAAAAGGGCCTTTTCGAGGCGAGAGTGAGATGCATACCCAACATCATATTCATCGTCACTTTCGATCAGGTGAGATGGAAGTCAAATGCGCATTTATTTTTTAATAATAAAAAAAGAATTGCTAAGTAAGGCGAAGTTTATGACCACATTATGAACCTGTGGAAAAATGATCAAAGCCCAAATTGTGGGCAGACCAAAGTGGTTTTTTTCAAAATAATTTTATGACTTGTTTACTACTGGTGGGAACAAACATATAATCGCATTATTATATATTATATGGCTATTTCAGATATAAGGATGTAAATATTGCTAACAAAAGCGCAAAGTTTTTGTCAACTAAACTGATTTACCATTATAACAGTTATCAAACTGTGAGTATGGTTTGAGTAATATTCAGGTTAGTTTTCTTAACCTAATTTCGGTGGCATTTTTTATTTACATAGTCTGGAATCGTATATTTGAGTGTGGAATCCAGAAATGTTATTTAATATTTCACGATAAAATATTCAAATACTAAAATAATAAAAATTGCAGCCGAAATTAGGTAGAGAAACTAACCTGAAAATTCCCGTGCTTGTATTTATTATTTAAATACGATATACGATAACAGAGCTTCACAAAAATGGATATTTACAGATTCGTCAGCTTTGTAAAAACACCGCGCAAAAGTATCCACAATTAATGCAATTAGAATTTTTGGGAAAATCTTTTGAAGGAAGATACTTGCAACTAGTAAAAATTTCAAAGAATCCCGAGGCAAATAATCCCGTTATATTTATTGATGCAGGTAATATACAATTATCCGTCCTTCAGTCTTCGTGTTCACCTTTGATTTACCTGAACACTGATACTTCCCGAACAATTTGGGGCATCTTCGTTCAAATAATTAGCATCACACAATAGATATGGGATGTTGATACTAGTGTCTTGGGGATTTTAGTACCTATAAGATTTTTTCTCATTTTAATTATGTCATCCGTACTAACATAATAAGACAAGTATGATAACTCCATACAAACGTAGCAGCGCGGCTTGTATCGTGCACACCCGCTGCGCGCCTTGTACGGACGCACACATTCGCAAAGTAACGAAAGGCGCATGGGATAACCAGCGCTATGCAACGAGAATGCATCACGAGATCATGCGAATGTATGCATCGCGCGCACACATACTAAACGCGCTGCTCATACGTTTGTATGGAGTTACCATACTTGTCTATTGTACTGTGTTACTAATCTTTCGTTTTTATACACTATAGTTAATAATATTTAAATGTGTTTTTATTGTCAGGTATTCACGCTAGGGAGTGGGTTTCTCCTGCCACTGCTTTGTATTTTATTCATATGCTCCTGGACCGAACGAATGCTGCTGATCTTGACAATGTTGACTATTATATATTACCGCTAGTAAATCCTGACGGATATGAATTTTCTCGAACTAAAGTAAGTTCTTTCGAGTTCTTAGGTTTTCGCGATTGTTACACATAGGAAATGAAACTATTTTTCCGGATTTAAATCGCATATATTTGTTTTTTCAAACAAACCGACGTTTCGGGCCCTTTACAGGTCCCATGGTCACGGTTGACTGAGGTGGTACAGTCTTCAACCAGTTATGTCTAATATTAATGCAAACCACCATATTTTTTTCACTATAGTTACAATAGTTATTAATTAAATACCTTATTTTTAATTTTACAAAGAAAACGTTTCAATTAACGCTACATTAAGTTTTACAAATTATTTTATTGATTGATTTTTTGTTAAGTTCAATTTATTATTAATTAATCATAGAAATTAGAATAAACTAAAACATATTAATTAGTACTGCAGTCTTATGTCTTTTTGGGATTTTTCATTAGAGGAAATACTGGATCCCAAACTGGTGGTACTGAGAAACTATCTTCCCTGTTGAAATTAGGATGTTTTTTAATTTCAATGGCCTCTCACAGCATCCTGGGTAGATAACGGACTTCTTTTGCAAGGACCTGGGGTTTGTCAAACTTCATTGAATGTGTAGGTTTATCCATGATATGCTCGCAGACTGCAGACTTGTTTACGCGACGGTGTTTGACATCAGCTATATGTTCTTTGGCGCGGGTACAAATACTTCGCTTTGTTTGTCCAATATAAGAGAGACCGCACTCACAGTCAAGCTTGTACCTCCTGCATCCTGTAAGGGAATGTTACATTTCACGGGTCTCAGGAACTGAGAAATCTTCCTCAGGGGCTTGAAATGGGTCTTGATAGATGCACGCCTGAGGACTCTTCCGATCTTGTCTGTAACACCTCTGACGTAAGGTAAGATGGCAGGTCTTCGCTCGACTGTTGGTGGTTTCACATGGGGCCTGCGGCATTGGCGTGGAATCTTCAACTTATTCGCATGTAGGACTTGCTTTATATACTGAAGTTCCCCTGCCAGATGATTACTATCGCAGACACCATGTGCTCTCTGAAACAAAGATTTGCCCACGTTAGCTAACTGTTTAAAGTAAGTACTTAGTGCTTTTAACGTATCTGACATTCACAAAAATTCAAGTTTTTAGATTTCCTGATTAGTTATTATAACTTTTTAAAAGTTTACACAATAAATATGAAATGCGAGGTGCCCACCAATTTAGTTCATTAGATATACTTAACCGGAAAATAAATAAAGATAAAAATAAGAAAAAATATTACAGCAACAGTTTTTTAAGTCAGTCAATAATAAAAAAATAAGAAGTCACATGTCACGAACGAATAATTATTAGTTTCATAAACTGATAACTATTGACAAGCTTGAATCTCAGTTAAGGAGTCACATGTTTTAAAAAGTCCATTTGTAACACCCCTCTGATTCAAAGCTTGATCGTTGTCCGAATCCTAGTTTTCTACAAATCCCCTGCAGACTTGGCTTCGGAACTCCTTTGGTCAGGATGTCAGCGAGTTGGTCAATTAGCTAGCCGTCCACAAGTTTTTGAGATCATAATATAAGTCCGTGGCCGAACGGTTACCATGCTGGTCTGCCACGAAGAAGTCCCGGGTTCGATACCCGGGCCGGAAGAAATATTTGTATGGCCTAAATTGATTTGTCTCGTGAGTTTGGGTGCAATGTGTCGTTGTCTATATGTGTGTCCATGGCACCCACGACACAGGGTGTCCCTATAGGAGGGCTAAGACTGTGTGCGTTATTTATTTATTTGCAGAAACGAATGTGGAGAAAAACGAGGTCAAAGAGAAAAGGTAGCAAATGTACTGGAGTTGATGGTAACAGAAACTATGGTTACAAATGGGCTACAATAAATGCAGTGACAAATCCTTGTAACTTCGCCACATACGTCGGCCCAAGTGCTTTCTCCGAAGCCGAGACAACAATTGTTCGTAAGGTGATGACGACATACCTTGATAGAATAAAATTATATCTAACATTACATTGTTACGGACAATTGATTTTATACCCATGGGGTTGGGATAAAGCGGAAAAGCCTGAAAATATCGAACGCGTTCATGCCTTGGGTGTGAAGGCAGCAGCAGCAATGGTAAAGGCCGGATCACAACCATTTAAGGTCATGTCTGCGTCTGAATTGTATTTGACTACTGGATCTAGTACCGACTACGCTTACCATATAGGTATTCCTTATTCGTACGCTATAGAGCTGACTGACGGATATGAGTTTGATTTTCCGGAATCTATGCTTCATTCTACGTTACCGCCGTTTTACAAAAGCTTACAGACGTTTGCCGAACAAATAAGAGAAGAGTATAGAAATACTTCTATATTACAGAAATGAAATTAATCTGTTTATACTTAAGCTGTTTGTTTTTTCTTTATAAGAGAATAAAAAATTGTGAACAAAATCAAAGTAAATTAAGCAATGAAAGCCATATTTTGGTGAACGTTGTTTTGCAATATTACTTACCTATTCAAAGCATGATAATATCACAGGCTATTTTAAAAGAACCATTTTCTAAATTTTAATTGAAATTAAAGTTTATCCAGTCTCAATTTTTACGTCAAATGGTAATGATAAGTGATCTAAGAAGTAGACGTTGTAATATTGATAAGATTATGACAAAGACCACCAAAAGTATATTATAGAAACATGGCCTATTGAATTTATGACATTTCTATAGTTAACAGTTGACGGGAGAAAATAATAGACATTGAGTTTTTAGAAGATTATTTTAATCAAACCACCTTTTTAAGTTTTTACACGGGTTCCACGATCACGGCTGACTATCGGTACATGTAAAGAATCTAAAATATTGATTTGTATGAAAATTTGATTAAAAAAAAAACTTTCTTTCGATTTGACTCTAACCTGCGTCTGCATACCAAACTAGGATCACTGCTCTACCAACTGAGATATTCCCCGACTCAGCAGACCTTACGAATTTGTCTAAGTGTTTGGTACAGATCTTTATGTATGGGGGGGTTTTTTGGGCTTTTGTCGCCTTAAGCGATGCCTGTGAGACATATATGCTTCTCATAACCAAACAGATTAGGTAGTAATTTCATAAAGAATAAAGGAATATCATGTTAGTAAAACATCATAACATCAAAAACATGATATTCAATAAAAATCAATATAGAAATATTTAAAATTATGCCGCAATATTTCGTATGTAATTGTAATGTAACACAATTACTTGAATGTTCAAAATAGAACAACAAAATCATCACGTGGTTCCAGCAAGATTATACCTACAAATGTTTACATTGTTTTGGACAAAACCGTCAATCAAAGTTCGATACGACTCAACGCTAAACAAACTAAAAAACGTTAAGTTTTATATGTATCAAGACGTACTAAAATTGAAGAAATAATGTTGTAACAGATTGTATTGTATTGTTTGTTTGAACATGTATTAATAAAAAAATTACAAATAAACTTCAATTGTACTAATTCCTGTTGTGGTGGTAACATAATCGAGGCTTAAAATATTAATTTCAAGGTTTAAAATCAATTTGTATTGTTTTATGTCACGTTAAAATAAGTATCAGTATGTTTTACGTGTAACAATTGGCTTGTTGAAAACTGAACATTATTTCTTTTTTAAATTACTTTTTGGAATTTCAACATTATGGTGCGTTTAACCTTCTTCATGTGCAGTAAGTATTGTTACACTATAAATAAAGGTGATGGGTAATTTTCAGGTTAGTTTTCTTCACCTAATTTTGGTGGTGATTTTTATTATTTAAATATTCTAGAATATTATAATGAAGTATTATTTAATATTCGAGTGGATATCCTAAAATATTATCTAATATTTTACCATAATATACTTGAATGTTTAAATAATAAAAATTGCCACTAAAATTAGGTAGAGAAAACTAATCTGAAAATTACCCTGATATTCGAAAATACACTTGTAAGGACACATCAATTTAGCATCAGACATTGTCCTTGTTACGATTGCCTTTATTTACATATTGACTCTTTATGATCCAGAATTCATAAATACGTGTCTATGCATATACAGCATTTTTCTACAATGCGAATTTTGAACGGCTTACGTATTTAATATTGCTCTTATTAACTAAAATAACGGATAAATCAGTACCTAAATTAAAAAAAGATAAAAAATGAAGCAAACTAAGGTAGTTTCTCGCGACGCGCGCCCGCAGCCGTACTGAGTGATAGGGCTGCCAGGACTTTGGTGCGCAGTTTCCGTCGAGTCACCGCCGCGGAATCTCATGATTAAGGACCACGAATTGGTTTGAAACATGTACAGCAAAAATTCGACTCAAATACGTGAGTTATCCGTTATTTTAGTTAATATGTCTGAGTCTTACGGTAGTTTTCTATTTCAAATACTGCTCTTCTCGACATAAGTAATGAGTTAATGACTTTTGAGATTTGAAATTCATTATTTTAATATTATAGATTGGAACCTCAAGTTCTATTATAATTATTAATACAAAGATCGAACACTTCAAAAAATTTCCTTCGATTCGGCTGGATCCGATCCGACGTCTTCTAGCAAACCGTGGCAGACGCTATGCCAACTAAGCCACGGAACGAACCAGCGGACCTCACGAGTTTCGCTTATTCCCACTTGTCACCTTGTATGGGAAATAAAATCCCATATGTTACCAGGTGGTGACAAACGGGATGAAAAAATCTCAATCGTTCAGGGAAAAGAAAATCCTATATGTTACCAGGTGGTGACAAACGGGATGAAAAAATCTCAATCGTTCAGGGAAAAGAAAATCCTATATGTTACCAGGTGGTGACAAATGGGATAAAAAAATCTATTGTTGCCACTGGCGACAAATGGAATTTAAAATATCCCAGTAGTTGCCAGTGGTAAAAAAACAAATGGAATAAGACATTTCAATTATTGTTTGTTTTTCGGAGCTTTGTATTTGGTTTTCAACGACTTTTTAGCCATCTAAGAGAAGTCTATGAAAGCAATTCGTCAACCAGTTGGGTAACTTTACAGCCACCAGTCCTGTTTAGAGATGTCGATTGTCGATGAGATATTAATTGTAATTAAATTTGTATTGTATTGATATTCAATTATTTTCTGTGAAATTACTCCACTAGTTTGCTAACCAAATACAAAGATCTGACAACAAGCACATAGGAAAATTCGTGAGGTCCACTGGTTCGTTCCGTGGCTTAGTTTGCATAGCGTCTGGTACAGTGTGCTAGAAGACATCGGTTCAAATCCGGCCGGATTGAAGGATTTTTTTTTTAAGTGTTCAATCTTTGTATTAATAATTATAGCAAACTAGTGGAGTAATTTCACAAAAAATAATTGAATATCAATTCAATACAAATTTAATTGAAGTTTTATTGTCACCTAAAAATGTGACACTGATTTTTCTTAATAATAAAACTGAAACTAAATGAGATATTAAAAAGCCGATTAGAGGGGGTTGTAGTTCTCGTTTCACTGCTCCCAGATATTAATTGATAACTAAAATTCGCTAAAAAAGTCGATTACGTTAGTTATGATAAGGCGAGCTTTATAGTGATGTTACGTTAGGTAAGGTTATGTATGTTAATATGCATATGTAATTAGTAGCAGTACAGCTCCTTGTGAAAGAGTTCGTCCAGGGAAGTACTGCCACCTTACCCATTTCTGCCGCCAAGTAGTAATGTCAACTTTACTGTGTTCCGGCTTTGAAGGGTAAGGGTGCTGGTGAAATTCATTTCATATTCGCTTCATATTATAAAAAAATGATTTGTGGTGCTTTTGGCCTGAAAGCACGTTTTGAGTTTCGTGTGTCATCATCATCCTATTGAAGACCCACGCTCTTGTTCATGTAGCGTCCTCCATTCTTCACGATTTATTTCTGATACGAAGTGATGGGACGAACAAGTCGTGCGCCTGTTGGTAAGCAACATGCTTGTCCATAACAGTTGCAGTGCCACTCAGAGCTTTAAATCGCAAAGGTCTGAGCTTTGCACGCAGCAACTGCGCCCATCACCCTGAGACATGAGTTAAAGTCTCATGTGCCTGGAATTTCACCAGCACCCTTAACCTTTAAAATCGGAACGCAGTATTGCTCACATTACTGCTTGACGGCAGAAATAGGTAAAGTGGCAGTACTTTCTTGGGCGAACTCTTTCACAAGGAGCGCTACTGCAACTAAAGTAAGCTCACTTTGACCTTCTTTTTTATTTACTTACTGAAACCTATTCTCGTTTGTCTGGAATTTGTCTAAAAATATGTTTCCAAATTATTTATGCAAGTAATATTTTAGAAATCTCGAGAGTTTGATGGGTCAAACCGCAGACCTGGAAATAGCCTGTGTAATATATGAAATAGCAAATACTCCAAATAAATAAAATCGTTAGTTAATAATGACTTAATAATTGTGTATTTACAGGTGTCGTCGCTGTTTTATGCAACATTAATTGCAATCGCAAATTTCGCAGACGTAATCAGCCTTATGAGAAGTAATCATTAGAGTCGTTTTTGACAAGTATCCAAAATTTTTTTGTATTTCATTTGCATAAAAAGAAAAAAATTGTTGGTCAAATGTGTAAATTGAAATTAATTGAAAAAAATATAATAGGAATCATTGCTCAAAATAATTCATCATTATTTTTAATACTAGTGCAGGGTCAAGAGCATGTTAACTTGCGATTTAAATTTAACAGCTGCTACCGATAGAACTGTCTAAAGTTTAAAGTATCAAGCTTTAAGTGCTTTTGATTGTACGATACTCTTTTTTTTAACAGCTTTACTAATAAAAAACAACTAAACATCCCTTTATTCAAAAAAAGTTAAACACTGCTTAGTTTATTTAACTAAACAGTGTTTAACTTTTTTCTAAGTGACAGCAATATATTTTCTGTTTTTTTTTTCTGTAGCATTATTTTGTAATGGTTTAATCTTCTAATGTAGCCACGGTAATAACAGTTTAATGAAGAAAAAATTCTTCATTAAACATAAATAATGTTAAAATTGTTACTCTCTAGACTATGAATGTGAATGAAATCTATACTACAGTTACGCGGAGTCACATTGGCGAAAGCGTTCAAAGTACTTGACATGCGCGCTGCATATTTCATATAATTTAGCTAGATTAGCGGTGATACTATCATTTTCTGTTATTTTGTAAACTGCGTTATTTATTTACTAATACTACGCACTCCGAAAGTTGTAAAAAAAGTAAAGAAACAAAAAATAAAATTCGAAAAAAAACGAATTTTGTGAAAAAAAAAGAAACAAAAAATTAAATAAAAACAGAACAGATCCATAAGTTGGTTTAGTGTTCATGTGTTGATTTGTATCATGTAGTTCGATTAATTTTACGACTTTCTTGTGATAAAAGCACTTTTGACATGTTTTGTTATACCAAGGGCACGTCTTTATCAAAGAATACTTTATTATAATTATAGATAATACGGAGAAGTTGAAAATGAATGCGTGCCTATATTTTGTCAGGCGGGAAGATGAATTGATGATGATGAATTAATTTGTGTGCATAACTAAAACCACTTTTTTTATGAATCAATGATAATAGAAAAAGCGATTTTGCAGCGATACACTTATACAACTCACACCGATAAATGAGAAACAATTCAAGTTGCTCCAGGATTTAAACGATGTGGATTCACAATTAGACATATTAAAACACAGTGACGGAGTATCAAAAGCAATGGAGGTTCTTGTGCCACCACATAAGTTAAAGTTTATTAATAACTTTGCGCAGGAGCATAACTTGAAAATTCATATTAAAGTAAGGAACTATGGCAGGTAATTGATTTATGATGAATATGGTACAGACATAACCTAATTATGTCAATTATAAAACTTTGCCCATTTACTCGTGGCTACAAAGGACAAAATTTATAATTCGGAAAGAGCTACCATTGCCTTCTATTTCACACGTAGGACTCAAATTCAACCCATTAAACAAGCAAGCCATTTAACTTCTAGTTTGCAATGAGTGCGTAGAGAACAAATTTTAGAAGTGTGAAAGCGTTTTTCTTATCGAGTTCTTAGGAAATGAAACTATTTCTCTGATCTAACTCGCGTTATTGGTTTTTTTTTTGTTTTGGAAATGTTGGTTTGCTTGAAAAAAAAAAACACGACACACAATTATTTATTATCGCAAAATAGTTTAATTTCTTAAGCCTTTTTCTTCTTTCCATTTCGGTAGACAAATGTTTTCCAAATGATTATGACGAATACCTATTTACACGAGTAATTGTTTAACCTTATGGTTGAAGTATTTAATAATTTAAACTATGTTCTCTAGGTTTTTGGACGAAAAAATAGGACCAGTTACATTAAAATCCAGTGACCCAGTTTTCACTTATCACTCGTATAAAGCTGTGAGTATTTGGTGTCAACTGTGCCGACAATCGTATTATAGATTTGATAACTAAGTGGCGCTTCTTTGCAACGCTTTAACGTCGTTATGGTAACGTGGACTTTTTCGCTAGTCATATTTTTTGGAATATCTCGAACGCCACCAGCCACGGAGTAATCATGGGAAAAGTTTGTGTATAACAGGAGCGGGAGAGGAAGGAGATAGAGAGATTCCATAAAATTTTTAATGACTCTACATAACACGTCTGAAGGTGCAGATGTTGTTACTTTTAACCGACTTCAAAAAAGGAGGAGGTTCTCAATTCGATTGTATTTTTTTGAATTTTTGTTACGCTATAATTCATTTGTGAAGCGATTTTGATGATTATTTTTTATTGGAAAGAACCTCAGTAGTGGACCCATTTAAATTTGAAAAAAATATTCTATTTCTGAGGGTGAAAAACTAGGGGTTGAATCCGGTTTCGTGCACCGATTTCTATAAAACTTGGCAAATACTTAGATGTAATTCCACGCACTTTTGAGGTAGGTTTTTTAGTACTTACTCTGTACTAAGATTATTCATTATATTTGTATATCCGCAAGAGAGCTATAGTAACCGACATAGCCCAAAGAATGACAAAATATAGGTGGCAGTGCACGGGGCACATTGCTCACAGAACACAGCATATAAGGCCAAATAGTTCTCGAGTGGCGACCGCGTACCTGAAAACGCAATGTGGGCAGACCGTCCACAAAGTGGACCGATGACCTGGTGATGGTTGCGGGAATCCGTTGGATGCAAGCAGCACAAGACCGGTTGTTGTGGCGTTCTTTATGGGAGGTCTATCGTCAGTGGACGTCTTTCGCCTGAAATAATGACGATGATATTTTCATAAGTTGAGGCCAACGATTTATGAGGTACAGGCTGCACAACAAGTGACACATTGCTCGTTAAAGGCGATATTCGAATAAAAGTGTATAGGTTGATATGCTGTTGACTCAATATGTAAATAACTACTATTTTATCTGTGACCACTTGTTGCCACAAATAAATTAAGAACAAAAAAAGGCTAAAACTTTTCATATTAAACGATTTTCTTAAAAAAATTTACTACAGATACAAAAAATGTACAACAAATTAGCAAAGCAGAACCCTAAGTTAATAAAAGTGGAAAATTTGGGAAAATCTTTCGAAGGAAGGCAGATGGAGTTGGTAAAAATTTCTGAAAATCCTAAGGCAAAAAATCCCATCATATTTATTGATGCAGGTAATAAATAGTACCGAAGAATCCTTTGCAATTGAAAAGTATTAATTAAGTACGTATCCGCTTACATCTTTGTTTAACTTCAACCCCATATTGACAAGTTCTTTACATTGTTTTAATAAATGTCTTTCTATTTTACATCCAGCACTTTGTGTCCCTGACAGGGGCCTAAAACCTATGTGTCCAGTAGTAGGCCGTCTAAATGGGTCCCAAGGTTCAAGTAGAATGTTTAATTTGGAAACCATTGCTGTCTCTTCTTATTAACTAATTGTATTTTCAGGTATTCATGCTAGAGAATGGGTTGCTCCTGCTACAGCTTTGTATTTTATTCACCAGCTCGTAAAGCCATCTAATGCTGCTGATCTACATAACATTGACTATTATATACTACCGGTTGTTAACCCCGATGGTTATGAATTTTCTCGCACGCAAGTATGTTTGATTTTATTTATTTATTTAAACACTTTATTGTACCACAAAGTAACTTACAAATTTTCAGAAACAATTTAAATATTTGTGTACAAAGGCGAGCTTATCCCATAAAGAGATTTCTTCCAACTAACCTTTGAAAATCTGAGAGGAAAGTTGGTTTTTGGGGTGGCACTAAAAATAGATAAGTAAAGAAATGAAATATACTATACTCAATAAATACACAGATAAATTTAATAAATCAAATGTACATACGAATATATATATATTAAGTAATGTTGATACATTAATACATACAAAGTCTATAATAAATTGAATGTACAAAATAAAACTATAAATAAATATATCAAAAGTAAATAAATATTTCAAAAGCTCTAACATGTGGAGTCTGAACAATCCCAAAACTTCAAAAGAGCACCCTTGAAAACCCGAACCGAAGGCGACTGTCTGACCTCGACCGGGAGAAGGTTCCACATACGGGCAGCATTTACTGTGAACGAGTTCGAATATTTTTGGGAACTGTGTTGTGGAAGGACGAGGGACAAATTGGTGCCAGAACGCAGGCGGTCACCCATAGCCTGACGGTATTGAAAACGCTCACGTAGATAGCTAGGTGAAGTGGGATGGAACAGGATTTTATAGAGGAAGCATAAAATGTGAGCATTTCTACGTAAACGAATAGGCAACAACTTCAACTCATCTCTAAACTTGGAAATGTGGTCGTACTTTTTTAATCCAAACACAAATCTGATACATTGATTTTGCAGCCGCTCCAATTTATTAAGAAGGTCCTCCGAAAGATCAAGATAGGAGACGTCACCATAGTCCAGAATAGGAAAAAGAAGAGTGCGTATTAGCATAAATTTGGTAGACAGAGGAAGAAAGTACTGCATCCGCTTGAGGGAATGAAGTGATGCAAAGATTTTACGACTTACATCGGCGACATGCTCCGACCAAGAAAGTGTCTGATCCATTATGATGCCCAAATTTTTAACTGAAGTGGAAAAAGGAATAATAGTGTCATTCAGAACTAAATTGGGCATCACCATAGACTCAAACTTGGAGATGGAATGGCGACTGCCAATAATTATGGCTTGGGACTTTTGTGCATTTAAAAGAAGTCCGTAGTTCTTAGCCTATACCGAAACCTTTTGTAGGTCGGAATTCAATGTGCCGATAGCAGTAACTACATCTTCAAGACGGGCTGCAGTATAGATTTGAAGGTCATCGGCATAGAGATGGAAAGAAGACGTGAGTGATGATGTAATTCCACCGATAAAGACCGAAAAAAGTATAGGTGATAAAACCCCACCCTGCGGAACGCCAGCCGTAAGGCTACACCAGTCCGAGTGCATGTCACCGGTCTTTACGAGCTGGGAACGATCAAATAAATACGAACGAAACCAGGATTCGGCTAAGGGAGGTAGATTTAAAGTTCTAAGCACAGCAAGAAGCAAATTAAAATCAACAGTACTGAAGGCACTGCTAAAATCCAATAAAGTGAGGACAGTAACTTTTTTATTTTCTATATTAAGACGAATGTCGTCAGTGATTTTCACCAGAGCAGAAACTGTGCTATGGCCCGCTCGAAAACCAGACTGCAGATGGTTGAAAATATCGTAACGTAGGAGGTGGTTAGTGAGTCGATTATGGACATAGTGCTCAAGGATTTTGGACAATACAGGAAGTATGGAGATAGGGCGGTAATGGGAGAAAGAAGAAGGATTTGATTTTTTAGGGAGAGGAATTACATGGGCTTGTTTCCATACAGCGGGAAACACACCACTGGAAAGGGAAAAATTAAGGATATGAGCTAGGATAGGAGCTACTAGGTCCTGTATTAGAGTGATCATGTCAAGACTCAAACCGTCATTACCAACAGCCTTCGTGGTGACAGACTTAAGTATTTTCAACACATCTGCTGTCGTAACCTTTCCAAAATCAAAAGAAGCTGAAGCAAGACAAGGTGCATTGGCCAGGACAGATAAAGTTCGCGATTTTATGACAGAATCTAAACATACTGGGGAAGATGCAAAGTAGTCGTTCAGCGCGTTAAGATCGACATTGAAGGGAAAGACATGATCAGCTTTACCGATACCCAGTGACTTCAAATATTTCCACATCTTAGTATGCGGACAACCTTCGATAGTGGAGTGAATATGCTTACGCCTGGCGCTCCTACAGAGCTTGTTGCAGCGGTTACGTAACTCGATGTAGGACTCACTATTGATTTTGGTTGGATTCTTCCGCAATCTGATACGTGCTCTGTTGCGCCTCTCCATAACCTCCTTGATATCTGGCGTGAGCCAAGGCGCGGGGAAATGTTTGACTCGGACAACTTGAAGAGGAGCATGCTTGTCAAAGATGGTCAAAATAATGGAGTTAAAAGCTTGAACCATTTCATTCACGTCCTCCGCTCCAAACACTAGCTCCCAATCAGAATTCAGCACATCATCGAAAAGGGCATTTTTGTCTATTTTAGCATAATTGCGGAGCATTAAGGTTTTATGTCTGCGCTTAGGTGGACGAATTTTGAACGAAGCATAAATTAAATCGTGTGAAGAAAAAGCAGCAGCATTAAACTGTCCATGAGAATCAACCAGCTCAGGAGAAGAAGTGATGATCAGATCAAGAAGGGAAGGTTGACCATTATGCGGAAAGTGAGTGGGATACAACTCGAGGCAATTCAAAAAAAGTGAGTGGAAGAGTGAAAGCAACTTCCTCGATCGGCAGTCACGCTTAACAAGGCAGGTATTGAAGTCACCCATGAGTATAATATGTTCGTAGCGGGTACGTAGATCAGCCAGAACCGACTCTAGTTGCTCAAAATAGTCAACTCTTAGGTGAGGACTGTAAAAAACTCCCAGTAGGGCCCTAGTGTGGTGAAGAGTGACTTCTAAAAAAAGATATTCAGGAGAGTCCGCGCTAGTTACCGACTGTGCTACGATCTCGCAGTCAATGTCACATCGTAGATAAATCGCTACGCCACCTCCACCAACCATCCTCATACGACCGCCCTGGGATCCAATGATTTCTCACATCTTTTGTCAAATTGTTTCTTACTTATTATGCGGATGCCGTGTCGTGCCCAAAATATCGAGTTTGATTAATATTTATTAAAATATTAATAAATACATTGCAAATGAAACTATATTTTCGTATTACTTATTACTTCCGCGTATTACTTCCTATTATTCATAGCTGACTGGGGTGGTAAAAGTTATCAACCAGTTATGTCTAATATTAATGCAAAAAAACACCCTATTCTGAACTACAAATGTTATTATTTTACGTTCCTTATTGACTATAATGTCCCAAAGAAATTTTCGTTTTGGGCTACAAAAGATTTCCAAAATATTTTATTGGAACTATATGATATTTTTACTTAATTAAATTTATTAATTAAAAAGAAAGTAGACGTAAAAATAAAACATTTTTATTAATATGTTTAATTACTACCTTTTGATTAGTTACTACTGACTGTTGTACTCTGTAGTCTTGTCTGATTGGGTTTTTTTATCATAAGAAAGACTGCATCAAGAACTGGTGGCACGGAGAAATCCCTGTTGAAATTAGAATGTTTTTATTACACAAATATATTTTCGAAATTGTTTCCTTTACAGAGACGGATGTGGAGGAAAACGAGGTCAACATCGAAAAATACCAAATGTCATGGAGTTGATGGGAACAGAAATTTTGACTACAAGTGGGGCGAGCTTAATGCGGTAAAAGATCCTTGTAACTTTGGCACCTACATTGGCCCAACGGCTTTCTCCGAAGCAGAGACCAAAATTGTTCGTAAGGTGTTGGAAAAGTACCACGATAGAATAAAATTGTATATGGATCTTCATAGTTACGGACAATTGATTTTATACCCATGGGGCTGGAGTGAGGCGGCTAAAATTGAGAATTATGAAAAAATACATTCTTTGGGTACGAAGGTAGAGAGAGCAATGGTTAAGGCTGGTGCAAAACCGTTTGAAGTTAAGTCTGCAGCAAAATTATATTTGACTACTGGATCTAGTATTGACTACGCTTACAAAACAGGTATCCCTTACGCGTATGCTGTAGAGTTGACAGATGGTCATGAATTTGATTTCCCGGAATCAAAACTATATTCCACACTGCCACCTTTTTATAAAGGCCTACAGGCTTTTGCCCAACATCTAAGGAAAGAATTCAGAGCACGTCACTGAAGTTAAAGTGTTTAAATCCGTTGTTTAATCCGTATAAAACAATTCCAGGTTTATGAACAAAGAACAATTGTTATTACAAACTGCGAATGATAATTTTATTGTATATATTTTAATTTATCGCTCAAAGAAATAACAGAGTATTTTGTATAAAATAATACTAAATAGAATTCTTAGACATATTTCATAACTTCTTCTGAACTATTTATTTATTCTTCTGTTATCGTATAGATGGCATACACTATAATGCTTGCCAACGTAGTGAAAGGATTTGCCAATTAACGTACAGGAAAGGCATGGTTCGTCGTGCGGGAAGGTTGCTTTCGTACATCCCAATTAATTTATTTATTTAACATGGCTTACCAACTAAACACATAGTACGATTCGTAAATATAAAAACAAATCATTTTACTGTTACAGAGCACGTTTTAGTTATAGATATGCACAGCATTATATATGAAGGTATTTGAAAGAGCGAAAGTATTTTTTTTTATAATATCTAGTGACGGGACGAACCAGTCGTGCGCCTGATGGTAAGCTACACGCCAGTCTATAACAGTTGCAGTGTCACTTAGAGCTTTAAGTCGCAAAGACCTGAGGGGCACTGCCACTGTGCCGGTCAACCTGAGACAGAAGTTGACAAGTCCCTTGTGCCTGTAATTTCACCAGCACTCTTACCCTTTAAAAGCTAATGCTGACATTACTGCTTGGCGGCAGAAATAGGTAAGGTGGCAGTACTTCCCTGGACGAAATCTTTCACAAGGAGCTCTACTTTGACTATGACAGGTCTGGCTAATATAACTAGACTATAATAAAGAAATTTCAATTAAATTTGCAAATAAAATTAGTTACTATGATGGCCGTTTTGACAGATTACAATAGTAAGGTCAAATCTCATATCATTATCGAAAAACAATAATCAAAAGTGAGTCGCTTCTATAAGTTGTTACATTTATAACTAGTATTGCAAAGTGTAGCTGATTAAAAAGTTTTAATAAAACGAAAGTAAAAATGTCTACTAAATTATATCTTCAATCGAAATTGCTTTGTTGTGATTTAGCTTTGACGCGATTTTGCCGGAGGTAGAAGTTGTGCTGGACAGCGATCCTTGACGTGACCGGTGACGATCGTGTTAGATTTCATTAAAAAATTTCGAAAAACAAATGCCGAGTTGTGTCGTAAAATTATACATCAATTAGCTTCTTCAACGTAGTTATGTTAAATTAATACGAAACTTAATCCTTAATCAATTCTTGGTACTTACAAATAGTAAAAACAGTAAAAATCAGGCAAGTCAAAACACTGAGCTAAAGACAGTTAACTTTACTACTAAAATATTGTATTGTTTGTGGACGTCATGCCTAAAGCTGTTTTTTTATCACTAAAAATTATAGTATTCACAATTTTGAAAACTTTAGTTGTATCTTCTCATATTGGAATACATACTACGATAATTGGTTTTTCTCAGTTCAATTGTAAAATATTTGTAGTTATGCAGCCTAGAGACACGAGGGATGGATCTATGTCATAATTTAGTAATTTATACAAAAAGTTGAGGGTCAGTTGGTTCTTCCGATGTTTTAGTAATAATATATTAAAATAAATTAACCTTTCACCAACTGCAATTACTTAGTCAAAAATAATATAATAAAATGAGGCTGTCATGGCATTTAAATAAAATTATACTGATTGATGACTCGTATAAAATATTCATTTATGTTTACCTAGAATAAATGTAAAAGTATTTGTTTTTTAATCTTATAAATATGTTAAATCTTAGCAGCCAGAGAGCCTTTTTTTTTAAAGATAGTTTATCAAATGAGTTTAGCTCCACACGCATGTGATTATCATTCCTGAAAAGATGCTAATATATGACGAGGTTGTACGGTAGGTAGAACCTTTGTCTACTCAAATAAATGGGGAAAACTTATTAAAAAAATGATATCGGGACTTTTTTGGACGTGGGATGCGTTCTGTGAAAAGAGGTGTCTGTATGTTCCGTGTAACCGCTACTAATAATACGCTTTATATATCAAAGCAGCCGAATTTTGACAGACAAATATCCAATAAAATATGTACTCTAGTGAGCGTAATGATGGTCTGTCAATCAGTAAAGACACGAACTGCTTTAGAGAAAATACACAATTTTCTATAAAGCATTTGGTACTACTAATATAAAATATGTTTATTTTTATGTAATACAAAATGTAGTATAATAAAAGCAGTTGTTTCGAAATCAAATTTTAGTTTTATTTTTCGGCGTTTCCGTTTTCATGAACGCTTGCCATTGAAAAATACAATTTCGTTATTATGTTGTTCACGTGATAAAAAGTGGAAATGTATAGAATAATTTTAATTTTTATAGGTAAGCGAAATATAAATCTGTTGAATATATTACATTGATTATTATATAGAAGTACTTATTTAGGTACTATTATTACGAGGCTCGCCCTTTATTTCCATTTAATTTACTAAAGAATTCATTGTCTCACTCTCATACGGACGCATTCAATAAAATGCTATTAAGTATTTTGCCTAAAATAGTCCATGTTGGAAAATGTTTAATCAGTACAAAATTATAACAATTCAAGAAACGTTTGTAAAGCAAGAAGATTATTTTCGCTAAGTGGAATTATAACATTTGTTGTTGACTATACAGAGTGTAATCGTTAATTGGCAATTATTACATACCTTTATATAAAAACCTTTCAACTGATATCGAATGGACATTACCTAATGAGCAACACACATTAATAGTTTAAAAAAACTAGAAATATCCAAAATTTTAACGTTCAACATTGCCATGACATTCGTAGAAAGGCTTTAATTTCCATACTTTAAGAGGTCCACTCGTTTAAACATTATTGTATGACTTATCAATAATGATTTTTAAGAGCGTTTAACTTTCAAGTTTTGGATATTTCTAGTTTAATTTTGAAAAAGTTATTAAGAGTCGAAACTACGTCAGGTCGAATCCAAATATTTTCCGTACAAATACCGATCCTTTTGCTTGAGTCGAGTGGCAGGGATACTGGCTTTATTTCAGAATTATTTTTTTTACAAACGAAGTTAAGGTCATTTGAAAAATGTATATTGTATACTACACATGTTCTATTTAGTTCAGTTGATATAAAACAATCATTGGTATTGGTAAAGTATATATTGAATACAACAGTTTTCTTGTAAAATTTCGAGATAAGTTTGTGTTTTTTTTTTCTATCGTGAAATTTTTAGGCATCGTTTTTTCACACCGTATACTAATCAGTGTACATCCTCAATTTTACTATATATTTTTTCCAAGTGATCGATTCAACACTGTCACTGTTATGCGGAATCAATCAAGGCCATTTCAGGTAGAGAGATTCTTAATGCCGTTTTACTTATAGGGTAACGTACTTTCGGTATCAGTTTAAAGGTTTTTGATATTTCTTATAATATAAGATATCTGAAATCACTAGGGCACACTTACGACTACATCCTGTATAGAGTCCTGTGGAATAAAAGGACCTTCGGGATGGACTTGAAGTCTTATTTTTGTGATTATGTTAACACATAGGTAAAATAAAGAGTTTAGCACTATAGTCTCTCAGTCGACAAAAACACAAACAAATTAGTATAAACGATTTTAGTTTATTTTCATCTGCGATGCTCCAAATTTTAACGTGGAAAAACTTATTTGATAATTGCGAAATCTTGAAAATACGAGGTGTACATACCTTTCTTAGAAATGAGATGACAGTTTTTCTTATCCCACCTTTTGAGGGAAGAGAAACGTTAGCACTATTTGCATGTTTTCGGCGAATACATCGTAGGTATTGATTGAATTTATAGTAATGATTGTTAAAACATGTAAAGCTGATAAACAAAGGCAAGTTTAGTGCAATTCAAAATTCTTATAATATTTTATCTGTTATTCCTAGAGCTCAAAACATTTGACTCAACAAACTATGTTCCTCTAACCCGCCTGACTGTATATTTTTTTCTGGGAGCGTTACTACATGTTCGTCTTTCTACAATATCGACTTTCTGTTCTTTTTTAGTATTTGTACCAGCCTATGATGCAAATTTATGCGGGTAAGCACTTTTGTTTATAATCTTATTACTTAAGTTTACATTTTATAGGTAGTTTGTAAAAGTTGAGTTTCATTCTCCTTTATCTTCATCATACGTTATTCATGTATTTTTTACTGTATTATATTGTACAAAAGCTGTTAACATAAAATGGCGGGGACAATTGTTCTCAAAATTGTCCATTTTGAATATCTCAGATTATTTTAATTTTAGAATTGCGCAACAAAACGAAGACTGAATCGAAGTGTTTACATACCGACGCATTTTTTATAACAACCAAATTCCTAACCATCGAGTATATAACCAGAAATAGAGACGAAATAAGGGCCATATATTCCTGGTAACACATTAGCGATAGCAGCTCTTATAAATATCAACTCTCGTTTGCACTGAAACATAGACAGGCCAACTACTGACCTGTGTGTACGTCTCTGTACATTCCAAAAATATTCTGTATTTATTGTAATAAAGATAATATCTCTAACAATGCCGTGCTGTTCTATTCGGTGGTGTGGGAAAAACAGCAAAACATCTAATTACAAAACAAACGGAATCACATTTCATCGGTAATTAAATATTAAATATGTAATTTACGTCCATTATAGAATTGTAAGTCAATGATTATAGCAAAGCTTAAGTTAACTGGTCGATTTGAAGTGAAACAGTTGACGACACCCGTCAATTGTTTCGAACTTGGGCTAGCCAATCGGAGCGCAGGTGTCACATTAATTATATGGCAGAATAGTTTTCAAACAAATTAAATGACATTTCGTCTCTATTTCTAGTTATATATTCCATGTTCCTAGCACTCACATAGTCTTGCTTATCTTCCGTAACGTATCACTATATCATATAATAGTGATATTTTATATATAGGGATAGTTACTATGTATGTGTGATCAATGGTAATATATAATAATTTCCATTAAGTATGGGTATGTACATTTTTAAAACGCAAAATTCTTAATTCAGGTGCAAATCTATGAGGAAATGTTACGTCGACATGTTGAACATACTAAAAGATAAGGACGAAGAAGCGTGCGTTGAAAACGTTGCAACAGGAGCTGGCACTGTAAGTGGTAAGGTTTTGAAATGACATCGAAACCTACATTAATCACTTTTGGGATAAAATAACTTGAATACGTATTACTTTTGTCTAAAATATAGTTTATAAGGTTTTAAAACAAAAATTGTCAAGGCTTGGCCAAGTTATGTCGGGACCAAACATTTTCCAATATGGCAAATCCAAGATGGCCACCATACAAAGTTGAGTCACAGGTTACTTAGTAGACTTTGCTGAATCTCTGCAACTATCAATTGTATATAGCTGGGGTCTTCTGCGGTATTTAAGAATATGATTTGATGCGTTCAATTACTTGGCTCCATTTTGCCCAAAAAATAAACAAAATCTGAAAGAAAAACTACAACTCTCAACCAGTCACAAATCTCAAAGATAGCCCTCGCGGGCTGCTCTAGCGGGCCGGGGCGGCGCGAACGCATCGCGCGTCATCAGTATGTATATAACTAACTTGACTTTAGCGCGTATCCTTATGTGGTCATACATCCAAAGTAGCAACTTTAAAACTCTCTCTTGCAAAGTTGTCAGTTTGTAGATGTGGAATTATTACACCAAGGGTGCACCAATATATAACTAAATGTTTCACTATATTTCCTTCTTATCAACATTTATACGTTAGAGTTATAGTTAGAAATATGGCGTTACAGTGTACTGATAACGTTTCGCAATCCGTTTTCATGTTATTATCATGATGTAACAAACAACCACATAGCGTTCCTGTTAAGAAATATTTGGTCGAATAGTTATTGGTGGTATACCATCTTTGCAAGTTTGAGCATAAATCACTAGATTGATTTTGACGGACATATATTTAAAGGTTACATTATGAACACGTTACGTAATTCAACTTGTTGTTTTATGAAATGAAATGTACAAATAATTAAAAATGTATAACTTTGGTAAAAGTCAAATATTTATACGAGCAATGTGTGGGGCAACTGTACCTACGCAGAACCTATACCCACGTACAACAACGCGTTTAGAGTGTGGTTGGCGCTACCATCGCGCTGCAGCGCATCAGGTATGTTCGCGGAAGCTCACACGGATGACTTTCAATCCATTCTCAGAAAAAGAGCTGCCTCAATGTTAAGCCGTACAAATGAATTCTTCGTATCAAAACATCAGGCTGTCTTTCTCCTTACGCGTATAACCTGCAGCTCAATGCCTGTTGAAGACAAAAAATCTCTCAGTGTGACTGTTGTAGTCCTTGAATTGCTTTCCATATTGCATTGCATATTACATTGCATATTGTGCAGTGTTGCATAATTTCTGTAACCAACTTAAGTAATAAATTTCACCATAAAACACATAATCATGCAAAAACATTCCCAACTATACACAACTGTGATTGGACTACAGCTAGGGTTTGTGTTCTAATTCTCCTCGAGAATTAGTAAGACGAGTAAATTGTATTTTGTTTATTATATTTATAGTTGATTAAAGTGATTTTTTTAAGATTTTTAAAAATTTCTCGAACGTGGAACGTGGTGCGAGAAATCATGAAACTCGACAAAAAAAATATGTCGAGAAATCAGAAACCTAATTTTGCGATTATTAATCTAGTACTACAAAAGTCTGCCATCGATGTATCTATAAAACCCGTAAAAAGTTAAAAAATAAATGCATTTAAGCAAAGCAAAGCAAAGTTTTTTACGCAAAGTTATAAGCAAAGTTTTTTTCAGGTTATGATATTTTTAAAGGCTTTGAAGCAGTACTGTCCTGAAGTAGTGAAAGTAGAAGAAAAATATGTTACTTATGAAGGCAGACATCTTTATGAGGTAAGATAGGTTAAAAAAATACTAACTCTACCCTGACAACCAAATATGTTTTGCTCATGCTGTTTGGAAATCAGAATCTTCAAGAGATTCGTAGCAAGCTTACTTATCTTTATTAATAAATAAAACACATATTTGGGAAATAAGAAATATGAAACAATTCTGATTGGCACTGTTATATATCCTGGAAAGTATTTAATAGGTATATACTAAATCTATCATTGAAACCCATGTTGAAGCTTACCCCTTTCTTGTATTATCCGATTGCATATTTTTTTTTTACATTCAAGGTGATAGTAACTAATAATACTGCCAAACATGTTGACGACGACACGAAACCAGTAATCTTAATAGAAGCGGGTCAATTGGCAGGGTCAGAATCTACAAATTTGGTTCTAGTCCTCATACAACAGTTAGCTGCTTGCATTGAATATGAAGATATGATAGAAAAAGTCAAGTGGGTTATTCTACCCTGCACTAACCCGGACGGATTGGAGTATACCAGATACGTGAGTACTACCTATGTCAACTTCAGCTAAGAAACATTGACTTACAAATAAATGGACGACGGGTCTAATACAAAAACCACGAAAAAAATGTCCCAAGTCAACCTATTCGAAATTTAAATTGTTATGTCATCGCAGTATCGCGCTGTCTGTAGAACAAATGAAGACTAAAGCGGAGTGTCGCGCTCTGTATACGATTTTAGCGCCTTACAAGTGCGGACACTTTTTAGCGCGGACCCGACGTCCATATAATTGTAAGTCAATGCTAAGAAACGTTTTCTTAAAACGATATTTAGAATCAAATAAACAAAAGGCGAAAGTTGAAAAAGCTTAAAATAGTACATATTACAAATACTATTTTCCATTTGATCACAATTTAAAATATCAACATTATCTCTATTTAAAAGCTATGCTTTTGTCTGTGTAGACTTCTTCATTCCTTTCGATCCAGCCAGCTATCTTTATAGCTGTTCAGTTTGACGTTTCCCTTTATTTCAAGTAAATTTAAAAATGTAAATCTGTAAACTATATTAGCGAGTTAAATATTTTTTAGAATCGTGTGCAGTGGAAAAAGAATTTGAAACCATCGGACGACCAAATGAATCATGGAGTAGACTTGTCTCGAAACTTCGACCATCAATGGAGTGCATGCAAAAAACGCGGGAACAGTTTCTCCCCACAGTATCCAGGATTGTCACCTTTTTCTGAAAATGAGACGAGATTCGTAAGAGATGTGATGAACCGATACAAAAATCAGGCTAGAGCATATATATCAGTACGCAAGAATGGTCATTCCCTGCTCTTTCCATACGCGTACACTAAAGTGAAAGTTGACGATGAGGCGCAATATAAGAAAGTTGCTGAAAAAATAGTGGAAAAGATTAATCAGAGAGCTGGTATAATTCAGCTGTTTAGCTCTGAGTCAATTTTCTCAATGAACGGAAAAGCGCACTGCGGGCATAGTGTCGATTACGCCTTCGATCTTGGGATTCCCAACTCTTTCGAGATGCGCGTATTCCTTGGAAGTGAAACGGAAGTCGTGACTAAGTTCCAGTCCCTACCTCGAGGTTACCATAACTCTTTACTTTTGGGCTACCTTAGCGGTTTTAAGAAATTATATGAGATAATTACCACTGACAAGAGCAAAAATGCACATTTTTAACTTCTGTTTCATATTCCAAGAACGAACATTAGTTTTGAAAGACAAAAAAGATCATAATGTTTTATTTTACCGTTGTCGTATTTATTAGTGTAATAAAGTATTTGTATAAATTTTATTGGATTGATATTCAATTATTTTTTAAGTGAAATTTCTTCACTAGTTTGTTATAATTATTAATACATCGATCGAACACTCAGAAAAAATTCCTTCGTAAAAAATATTTGTTACTAATATAACATGCTGTTTTAACGAGTGATTGTATAATTCTTACCTGTGCTGAACCGGATTCATCCCCTAGTTTACCACACATAGAGGTGGAATATTTTCTTCAAATTTAAATGGTCAATATTGAGGTACCCTCATTCCAACAAAACAAGAATCATCGAAATCGGTTTACAAAAAGGTGAGTTATCGCGTAACAGACATAAATAAAGCTTCAGTCGAATTGAGAACCTCCTCCTTTTTTTTGAAGATGGTTAAAAATACGTATCCATTCTGCTATTTATACACGTTTAATTGCATTCAATTTTCTCTACATTTACTGTAGAGAAAATTGAATTTACCGAAAAGTTCTAACAAACTAGGATTTTCATAGTAATTAAATTATTATATACTGTTTTAAGTCAAATACAACACTGGAAATCTAAATTGAAACAAACAGCTACTCAGCCGTTATAGGTGTCAATACTTTGGCTGTTTCTCGGTAAAACAATTTGTGAAACGTACTTTATTAAATTTTTCTGAATAAACGTACTTTTCTAAATAAGTCGCCGTAGTAGCCTTAATTCTTAATAATAATAACAATAATAAGCTACACAACAACAATAATAAAACTATTATCAATTAAATTGAATTCAATTATTTATTTATTTAGGCATTAATCCCATAACATTACATTATACGTTACACGGTCATAAAACTTTAAAAGCAATAAATAAAATAAAATTAAAAATTAAATTCAAGTTACTAATTAAAAATGTCAAAAAGTTATAAAATTAAAATACAATTAACAAGATTAACATTAGGAGCATTAAAAACAGTCATATAATATAATAGTCACATCTTAAAAACAAAGTCTGCACCAGTTCATTACTGGACTTATTTAGTCTCTCTGCAAAAGACCATTGACGCTTTCGTAAGGGGGCGTAAAAATCATCCACCCTGTTCAGGGCAAACATGCCAGACGCGCTACAGCGCCATGGCAAACGTAACATGGCTCGAAATGCGTTGTTGTACTGCACGCGTAAAGTGTTTATCGATCGTTTGGTGTAATTATACCACAGCTGACTCGCATAAAACGCCTGACAGTATCCCCGAAACAGAGTGACTTTCACCTGGTCTGAACAGCGTGCAAAATGCCGCGCCAACATATTGCTTTTCACTGAGATAGCCCGGCTCTCAAGGTCCTCATCATCCGTAAGTCTGTCTGTAATAATGTGTCCCAGGTATTTAAATGTAGAAACTACTTTTAACGTTGATCCAAGTAACGTAACTGGCGCAACAATGTCTGGCCCTTTGTCATATAAATACGACAAACACCATCAGTTCTGTCTTTTTCACGTTATAATGAAGAACATGAGCGACAGCATACCGTTCACATATGTCAATAAGTTTCTTCATTCCACTAATAGAGGGACTCAACAGTGCCATATCGTCAGCATAACTAAAGTTGTTTGCACAATCTCCTGCGACATGACAGCCGACTGCAGCTCTGCTAAGTTCCTCCATCAGATCATTTACATAAAGGTTAAACAAGACTGGCGACGTCAACCCTCCCTGTCTAACCCCGCAACTTGTACGGCTCAGAGATCGCGTCATCCCAGCGCACCACGTTAATCTGATTCCCATACCAGAATCTCAAAAGACATGTCAAACTATTTGGCACTCCGGCCCTTAACATTTTTGACCATAATAGCTCATATTTGATGGTGTCAAAAGCGCGGCTTAGGTCGAGAGAGCAACCATATACAGTAGTTTTTCTTTTTAAATAATGCTTTATGGTATTCTTGAAGCAAAATAATAATTAATTGTTAATTAAAATTATCAATTAAATTACAACTAAGCACGTCAAATTACTAACAGTAATTGAATCATTCAACTAATAGCATCACACAATACTATCGTTAAACGTGTAGAGTGAATGCTCAATAAGTCACGTTTTCGGAGAAATGTGAACAAATTCCTCGATGGTGCACTTCGCACGTTATCTGGCAGTCGGTTGTAGGCCGCCGGTACCATTACATGTACTAACTTGGATGTCTTTGTCAACAGACGCGGTATAGGCCGCAGTCATATTTTATTGCCAATGACGAACCGCTACTGGAGGTGACTGTGGATAAGATCCCAAAACAATACATTTTTGACAAAAAATGCGAGATTCAAGAAATAAATTCAGGAACAGGTACTGGGGTATTCTCACAAGACCTCAATATCAGGATTTTAACACCGCTTGGTGACCACAACACATTAATATATATAGACTGAATGTATGGTTTCAAGTTGGCAGCAGAAGCAATAATAGCGAGAAGAGTAAAGAATCACTCCATTCGAATACTCTTCGACAGCATGTCAATACAGGCCTGCAGGCGCTGAGCAGTTATGAGATTAACTCAGGGCTTACTTGTGAATGCCATTAAGCACTAAAGGAGGTATGTATACACAACTACGTAACTCTATAGTGGATTAAAGGATACAGAAGCTCACGTGACAATGACGGCGCAGGTGATCAAGCCAGAAACGGGTCGGAGACGGACGCTGTGGGACCAGAACCCGTAATGATCCTCCCCTACCAATGGTCAAGAACAACTATACACAAAGGTACAAAATCTTCTCATAATAACACATTGACAACCCTACGGTTTGTAGACAGGCCAGGGAAGTACTCTCAATGCTCAACGCCAGTCTATCTCGTTTATCAGGCGCCTGATAAACGAGACTTGATATTATAAAAAATTGTCACTTGATATTATAAAAAAAAAAAAAATAATTAAGCAAACTCAAAAGGCACGAGCTTCGCACACTAATTACCGACCTAACGGGTCGTGGTCCATACAATGAATACTTTTTCAACTTAGGTATCACGGACAGCCGTCTATGTAGAACGTGCATGGAGGGGAGGAAACGGCCGCGCACATCCTGCTACAGTACTCTGGCGGGGCCAACTACTGGGCTAAGTACCTTGGAGTGACGAGGGCGCTTCCCGAAGTCTTCAGCAAACTGAGGAGGCTGCTGAGATTCCTGGAGGAGCTTGGGTAGCACGAGTAGGACCCTACACCCACCACACGCCAAATAGGCGCCTCAACGTTGACTTGCGGATACCAGCCCGTTACACCAAGTACCAAGTACAAGTATCAAAGCCCGCAGCAGGCCCGCATGTCGCGATGTCTATCTCCGAGTCTGGAATACTCCTCCAAGTGGTCTATGGCATATAGAAACGCCTGAAAACATACCATAGCTGGGACCGTTAGTGTTTTCATGGTCCGGAAAAGAGGTATTGTTGATGCATTCTGTGACACTCTCGCAACGGCCCGTATTGCTCCTTTTTGCATTTCGACGGCTCATTCCCAGAACTCAACACCATGCTGTGGTTGGCTGGCACCATTTATTATTACAATTGCGACGTAATAAGTATCAAATGAATGTGATATTTGATCTTTTTGAAATGTTCCCAACATTCGATCGTAGTATTACGCAAATTGAACTGTAATGGATCTGTACCATGTTTAATTTTAAATAAATTGAATATCTCTCCAGTCTAATCACCTGATACCTTTTTTGGAGCTTGTTAAGTTCAGCTCAGTAAAGAGGTACATTGTACGATCATGTTAGATTCATGTCTGAATATAATGTAGTAAGTGACGCATCTCGATCATTTCTAGTACTTATTTATGCATCTTTAGGTAAGTCTGTCAATAAACTTTGGTCCTGATACATTTTGTTTCATTTGTGGTTGCTGTTCATTCCAACATTGCAAGGATAATGCTGCATAAGGTACAGAATGTGTGTAGGTACAGCTTTGGTCATATATTGCTGACGGCCAACAAGGAAGCTAGTCAGAAAGCTAAGTTAAGATGGAGTAAAAGTATGACAAAGATAATCACTAATGATATTCACCACAACAAATGACCTATTAAAATTATAACAATCTACATCTACCGCCTATTCGACGTTTAGAATAGACAGCGGATCGCGTTACTCAAATATAACTGCTGTAATTTCCTCGATCATCTTGACAACCTAAGCCTTTATTTGAAAGGATTTATTCTGTTGTTCGTTACATCGAGTGCCTAACGAAAACTGCTGTCAAACTACTGGGCATTCTTTTTAGAAAGCACTTCACACCAGAACAGCTTTTAAATCTTTATCAAACACAAGTTAGGTCTCTTTTTACAATACCAAGTGACGGGACAAACAAGTCGTGGGCCTGGTGGTAAGCGACACGCCTGTTCATAACAGTTGCAGTGCCACTTAGAGCTTTAAACCGCAAAGACCGGAAGGACACTGCCTCTGCGCCCATCAGCCTGAGACATATTCAACAAGTCCCATGTGCCTGTTATTTCACCAGCATCCGTACCCTTCAAAACCGGAACACAGTAATACTAACATTACTGCTTGGCGGCAGAAATAGGTATGCTGGCAGTGCTTCCCTGGACGAACTCTTTCACAAGGAGCTCTACTGCTACTAAAGGACGTGTATGGAGTGCTGTCATATCTAAGACGGCCCTGACCGTTACTAATTAGCTACTTCGGACTTGGTTGGTATAACAAAACGTAAAGAGATTAAAGAACGAGTTTCTTGTGGACAAGCTTCTAGTCTCGTAGATATTTAGTAGGTAAATTACAATTAAGTTCCACTCTTGCCGTTCCTCTTTTGGTTTAGTAAACATTAGAAACACCTCTTCCTTATTTCATTAATTTACCACCTATTCGCAAAAAGAACGGAATATGTGTTTTGCGAAAGCTATAATTTGGGGCTAACCAACGCTAGAGTAAATATTGTCGAAATCACCGAAAAAGGCTTGTATCCTCAGTTGGTTCAGAACCGGTATATAGCGCGTGACTTTTCTTCACTGGTCCAATACGGGCACATGACTAAAGATTATACAAGTGAAAACACCGGAGAGTGTCTACTGAAGAACAATTTTTAACTAAAAAGACCGGAATGCAATCGAACACGACTTTTTATGCTTTGCGATACAAGACTGGTCCCTGATGAAGAATATTATTGGGACGCAAACTAATAAAATAAAGGAGGTAATTTTAAAATGATTGAGTTTATTGTGATAAAACTTACAGGAAATCAAAGTACATATACTTTGAAATTCAATTTTATGTTATATTTGGATACAGTCATGAAATATATTTTTGATACCTTTTTATTTCGTTATGAAGTTACCTACCACCTTATAATATTATGGGTATGCAATAAAAGTGTTGAGCATTGAAGTGAAAATGCTTAGGATATTTTTATTTGTAGTAGGTAAGATTTTCCGAATATTAATTAATTTTATTACAGCTCGACTTTATTATCCAGAATAAATGTTTCATTGTGTAACCGATAGTACGTACAGAGTTTTTGTTTTATTTGTATTGCAAAAAAGTAGTCTAACTAATCACTTCCTATAAAGAAATAAAAAGTTAAAATATTATAGCAATAAAATTCGGTCAAATAAGTAAAATGTGATAATTTAGTAAAAACCTTGTCTTCTAGTTTTGAATATTACAAACCATTTTATTATTTTCTAAGCTCAAACATAATGTATTATGTTTTTATTTCTAGTTTTCAAAGTATAATTTAATAAATATCGAATATATATATACAGCCAATTCAAGGGAAAATTGCTATCCAGTCCCTCCCAGCTGGTAGAGCCCATAGACCACTCCAGAAAGAATTCCAATTGTAATACTTATTAAGTCATAAAATATTGTACCCAATCAAATCGTGTACATCCAAAATGGTTGTAAATTAGGACGAGAAGGACTACTGTTCCTTCAGTGAACATGTGAGCCGACAAATTGACTGTCGTCTGAAATTGCCGCATCCAGGCGCTGTATTATAACGAGCAATACAATATGAACATTGTCTACTACATAATAATGTTTCATTTCTTTTAACAAAAAATAAAAAGCGGACTATTTTCCTCCTTTGAATTTGAACGGTAGAGAATAGAGAATAAGTTCTATATTATATTGCATTTCAAAGTGCGCACAGGCGTACAGCGTTGACAGGATTAATGTAGTGGTACTTCAATATAGCTTTAAAAATTCGCCATACTGTCGACCAAGAAGCACTCATCGTCAGCGTCTTTTGCAATTTGAATTTTGCTCTAAACCTAGATATCTACCTTTATTAGTCTGGACAGTTAGTTGCACTATTTTCGATCACTACACCAGTGCAGAGCGACTGTTATATAACCACTACGCGAACTATAGGTAGAGTGTAGGCGCTATGACACAACCTTGTTTTACTCCACTTGTAATTTGAATCTTTGCAGCAGCTTTTTCCCTTCACCACTTATCTTTCAGTTTACGAACTTTAAATCTATTCTGTTACGCTTCTTTACTGCGATGTGCATCCAGTGACTTCGAATTTAACTTATGCTGGTATCTCTCAATTGCACTTTGATATCTGTATGAGGATGCGTCGAACCAATCTTGGTTCTTTTTCTGTTCATCTTTTCTAGATCCCTCTGTGATTTTAAATAGGTTGCTTTGTCACCAGTTCTGCTGCCATACCCAGCTCCAGATTCCCCCTCATTCGATTCCAGGAGCGGCCACTCTCCTCTAGTCCTGACCTGATTTTGGACTCAGTGGACTGATTATCTACATTGTACAGAAGGATCAAACGGATGAAAAGTGGTATCCTAATGTTTTGACTCTCACAAGCAGAGACTGATTCCGGGCTCGCTCCTTTGAGTTTTCGTAATTTATGTTTATGTATTTGAAATTTACTTTGAGATTTTCGGTGAAGGAAAACATCTTGATGAAACTTGCAAGTCGAAGACGGTTCACAAGCCTCGGAAAACGTGTGAAGTTCCAAACCCGCATTAGGCTAGTGTGGCAACTATGGCCTAAACACTCGCATGAAAGGATGTGTTACTTATTGATTATACGTACTTTTATTTTTTAGTTACGATACCAGTTTTTGATGCAAGTTTATGTGGGTAAGTGTTTTATATACTTATGCATAGATATTTAATATTAGAAGAGTGGGCAAACCTTGATCCACTTGGGTAAACTTAAATATTTTTACCTAAAAGACCTTGGCCAAGGTTTACTCACTATTATGGCGATGTTAGCAGTGGCGGATTTGTAGTCTTGGCCGCCTTAGGCCTCAGGTCATGTAGCCAGGACCAGCTGCCGCTGTCTCGGCACTTATCATATACTGGTAGACTACGTAGTGAGTTTACGTCGCAGAGTTTTAAGACCAGGGTTTTCAACCAATGGGTCGTACCGGTCGTGACGTACGGAGCCGGGACGTGGAATATGACGGTCAAACCGGCTCACAGACTACACGTCGCTCAGCAAGCTATGGAAAGGTCTATGCTGGGTATCTCGTTAAGGGACAAAGTCCGGAACGAAGTTATCTATAAGACTAAAGATGTGGACATCGTCCAGAAATGTAGCAAGCTGAAGTGGCGGTGGGCTGGCCACATCTGTTGCAGAACCGATGAGCGATGGAATATACGGGTTTTCGCCTGGAGACCACGTCTCGGCAAACGTAACGTAGGACGTCCCCCTGCAAGATGGACCGAGGACCTGAAGAAGGTCGCTGGTAGAGATTGGATGCCGAAAACGGGTGATCGGGCACTATGGCGTACACTTGGGGAGGCTTATGTTCAGCAGTGGACTGCAATAAGCTGATTGATTGATTGATTGATTTTATGTAGGCCTTTTTATGACCTACAATTTTCTAGAACGTTGATTTGATATATCTCTGTTAGGTTGCGGGGCGTACGCCAGTAAAACACTCAGTCGGCATGATTTTTGCTGACATCTTCAATATTTATCATCATATTTCATCCAACTTACACAAAAACTAAATAAATTGTACATTTAAACCTCACTCATGAATCACTCTGTCTATTGGTGGAAACCACATGAAAATTTGTTCAGTAGTTTTTGAGTTTATCGCGACCAAACAGGCAGAAAGCCGTGGTAGTGATAATATGTAATAATTATACATTACATTATAGATATCTGACATTTCATTATTTTGTGCATAAAATATACGAAAGTGATTTAGGAAGATTATTGTTTTACGCTGCGGTGCAGTGCGGCCCGCCACAATAAGCGTGAGCGTTTAGAATATTTAGGTACTTTGAGCTATTTCTTATTCATGATCATCATCAGTGAATTTTTTGTCACGATTGGCCGCCCCTAAAATCTGGTCGACCTAGGCCCGGCCTTAGTGCAAATCCGCCACTGAATGTTATTATTGCCTGTCAAAAATCAAACATCATAATTTCAAAAATTATAATTTTGTTGGGTATTAATTTCTCTTTCTTTTTGGTAAAATGTTGAAAAAATGCCAAAATATAAACGCCATTTTTTATTTCACAAGTTTGTCATTTATGAGTTGTGTGTTATGTAAACAAACAATAAGGTCTTACAGATTTGAATATATATCCTTGTCCATAATTTTTTGCAACGTACAATAATAATATTTCGTAATACACTCCATACACATAAATCGAGCAATCTTGCATTTTTTAATAATTAGAAAAATTTAAATATTTTAGAATATTATCAGAAGTATTATTTATTATTGGAGTGTAGTATCCTGAAATATTATATAGATATATATTCGAAAAATTATTAAAGAATACGAAACACTAACCTAAAAATGGGCCTAGTATTGTTACCATCGAAGAAAAAGTTTTAGCCGGTTTTACGAATTCAAATTTTCAACAATGACTTACGGAAATGACTATGCATTTGCTGGCACCGCAACAGCAATCGACAGACGTGTCGTTTATTACCAGGCGCACGACTTGTTCGTCCTATCATTTAGCATCATAAAAAAGTACTGAAAATGCAAGGTGGCTCGAATTATGTGTCCAGGCATGTAGTAAATACTATATGAAGTTATAGCAAATTAATACTTCACTATTCACTTTTTAATGCATATGTTTAAGTTATTAAATTTAATTCAGATGCAAATCCATGCGGCGTTGTTACGTCGACATGTTGAACACACTACGGGATAAGGACGAAGAAACTTGTATTGAAGAAGTTGCACCGGGAATGAACACAGTAAATAAATGTGTATCCACAGATAATCGTACCTTACGGTGTAACAGGTCTAAAGCGACCATAAGGTACCATTGCCTGCGGAGTGGCACAAATGTAAAACTACTAATGCCTTACTTTCTTAAACTCGTATCTTATAGAGTAATTATTCAAGAGATGGCAATCTTTATATTTATTTCAAATTTCTTATCAAGGATGTTAATTTGGATTGGATTACTTTAAGAATACATAAAAGCCAGTATGTAAAAAGGAAATGTGATGTGAAAGCAGGTTGCAAACAATTTGTATGTACAGTCCATTTCTGTTACTTTGTGCTTTAAGATATGAGTTTGACAAAGTAAGGCGACGTTATGTCATTTTTATTATCTTTGAAACTCCTCGCTAAGAAGTTTTCGTTCGTTTCGTTGTAGCCTCTAATCACCAGAAAACTGGTGGCTACTTCCGCCAATTAACAAGTGTAACTAATTAATGGGGACAGTTGCCATCTTCATACATAATGTTAGAAGGATTTCGTATAAATATTAATAGTAAAAATAATAAAAAGCCGTGGTAGCCTAAAGGTTTAACTTACCGCCTCTCATGTAAGAGGCTTATGGGTTCGAATCCGGGTTTGGATCCGGGTGCGAAATTTACCATGAGCGTTTTGGTAAAGGAAAACATTGTGACGAAATCTACACACACCTGCAAAACAATTTAATGTTGTGTGTGAGCCCAAATCGTGTTGAGCCCGCGAGGGAACTATTGCCCAAGTCCTATTGTTGTTAGAGGAGACCTGCAGTGGGACTATATATATTTGGTGTAATAGGCTGGTGTCCGTAAGTCGACGTCAAGGCGCCTATTTTGCGTGTGGTGGGTGCAGGGTCCTACTCGTGCCACCTCAGCTTCTTCAGGAATTTCAGCAACCTCCGGTTTGCTGACTATTCTTACACAGGGCGTCACATGGTTAAGCTCCATGCAGGGAAAGTACCTTAAATACCGTAGATAGAAAATTTTATTGAAAGAACACTTCATTTTGATTTTAAAAACAATTCGAACTGCATTCAAAGATTTTTAAATAATCGCCAGTGGAACCAGGAATCGCACCTGCCAAATGTGAAAAAAAAAACCACCTGTAATTTCACTATACTGATCGAAAGCCCCAATTATAAGGATTATTTTCTTCTAAATAACATAGCATCTTAAATAAAATAAAGACCATGAAATTTAACATTAATTTCAAAATTATTTTCTTCAGGAAAATAAACCTGTAAAAGATTTAGTTTACAGGAACCGGTATGAAAGTGCGCAGGAGTTACAAACAAAACTTAGACGTACTATTTTAAACATTCACCATGAAAAGGTAAATAAATCAAGAGGAAACAAAATTATCAAAACAGTGACAATTTGTATAGATATTTACTATATAATTTAAATTTATTAAGTTACTTAAGTTGCAGTTAAATGTACCTAATTATTTAAATTTAATTTCGTGGTCTTCCTTTTATTTAAGATCTTATGTTATTTAGAAGAAAATAATCCATATGATTGAGGCTTTCGATCAGTGTAGTAAAAGTGTTTTTTTTCACATTTGACATGTGCCATTCCTGGTTCAGACTGGCAATTATTTAAAAATATTTGAAAGCAGTTCGAGTTGTTTTTAAAATAAAAATGAAGTCTTCATTCAGTAAAATGTTCTATTTACGGTATTTAAGGCATTTTCCTCCGTGTGGCATAGCCGTGTGACGTCCTGAGTATAGGCTAACTATTAACATTATTATGTTAAGTTTCTCCTTGTGTGTGGAGTAAAGTAAATTGCGTATGTAAGTTATATGGGATTTGTCAGGGTACAAGAAACAATAGGTACGTGTGGCGCACTATAAGTTTCCGGAATGAATAAGAAAAAAATACTATAAATGGTCAAAAATGACTTTATTGTTTCTCAAAATATTCTTCTTTAGCGTTAATGCACTTTTTCATACGAATGAACCAATTTTGAAAACATTTATGCCACTCCTCCGTGATAATCTCTGAAACATATTTTTCATACTCTTCGACAGCCTCTTCAGGTGATAAAAATTGTGGACCGCGTAACTGGTTCTTAATTTTTGAAAATAAATAAAAGTCACAAGGTGCCAGGTCGGAACTGTACGCGGGTTGGCTCATCATAAGGTCAACGTTGTTCACCTTCAAAAATTCATTTGTCTGTCTGGCCGTGTGAGAACTGGCATTATCGTGGTGTAAGATGATACGGCGGATGATATTTTTACGGAGTTTGTGAACTTCCGAGTGAACTTCCGGCAAAAAATCGTGTACCAATCACTGTTCACGGTACAACGATTCTCCAAAGCAACAGTAGCCACGTGTCCAGTATTATTAAAGAAAAAACAATCATCCGCTTAGAGGCACTTTGCACGCGCGCCGCTTTGGTTGGTCTCGGCTCATCTCGAAAGAGCCATATACCCTTACACGATTGCTGCTTTGTTTTGGGATCAAAACTATAAATCCATGTTTCGTCGCCTGTTACTATGTCTCACACCAAATTGGTATATGGTAACATGGCATTACACCAAGTGACGCGATCCGTATTTTGAGCCTCAGTCAAATTGCGTGGGATCCACCGAGAGCATAGCTTTTTCACACCCAAATGTTTGTATATTATTGATTGTATTTGACTAATGCCTCTGCCTAAAGATGCCCGAATCTCATGGTATATCACATGCCTGCCTGTTTTGATCATACGGCGCACAGCATCAATGCTTTTGTTGATCACAGCAGTGGACGGGCGACCGTCACGAAATTCGTCACTGAGATTCACACGTTTGAATTCTGCAAACCAGTTATAAATAGTCGTCTTGCATGGTGCTTCATCGCCAAAAGCAGTTTGAAACCGAGCGAAGCACCACTGAGCTGTCAAATTACACTTAAAGTCGTAGAAAATCATAACACGAAAATTTTCACGAGTTAAATCCATGGTGATGTAGACAACCAATTTCTAAAATGACGCCACAATGTAAAAACAAGTGACAGTCAGATGAAACAAACTGTATTCTACTACCAAAGAGTTCCATTTTCATATGTTGTAATTACTTTTCAAATATTGTTTATGTAAGTGGCCAGTTCCGGAAACTTATAGGCGCCCTATGTACAAACGAGTGACGACGTGACTAAATAAATGCTGGTACTACTGCTGCATTCTATTAAATATGTTTGTAATTGTATTCCATAATATTTATATTTATTTATTTATATTCAATAGAGCTCCTTGCGAAAGAGTTCGTCCACGGAAGTGCCACCTTACCTATTTCTGCTGCCAAGCAGCAATGATAGCAATACTATGTTCCGGTTTTGAAGGGTAAGGGTGCTGGTGAAATTACAGGCACATGGGACTTGTCAACTTATGTCTCAGGGTGACGGTCGCAGTGGCAGTGCCCCTCAGATCTTTGCGATTTAAAGCTCTAAGTGGCACTGCAACTGTTATGGACCGGCGTGTAGCATACCATCAGGCGATTGTTCGACCCGTTGGTAGATATTATAAAAAAAAATGTTGTAATACTAAGTCTACGACAAGGATGCGACGAGCACGTTTGACCGTAGGTAACGGTATAATAATTTAATGTCTTCCCACGATCCCATGTATCGCGTTTTTTGAAAAACAAAGGTAATTCGCACCGTATCAAGAGTTTGATGCGCATATTAAAAAAAACATTTAAAAAATCCCCGTGTTTATTAAACACTTATTTATTTTATTATTTACTTATACATTTTTGTTATCAAATATCCGTAATAGACGATTTGAATTCTTCTTCTCGCTGAGGATGTCCCTTCACTTTTGCATTACGTAGTACCAGATCTCCTTGCTACGACTGGAGCATCAACTATCGTTCGATGTAAGATTTTGTGAGCAATATCCTGTATAACCAGTTAATTGCTTGTAGAAAACTATTGCATTAATTACATTCTTTTGTTATTTTAGCTGATGGTATATTTAAAGGCGTTAAAACAATTTTGTCCTGACTTAGTAAAAGTACATAGCAATCATAAGACTTATGAAGGAAGGCCACTATTTGAGGTAAGACAGGGACAAATCTAATTTTCAATACCATTCCAAGAGTGATAGCGGTACCGCTTATTATCACATTCGATGACATTATTATTATGATATAGTTAATTGCTAACTTTCTCATGAACATCTTTTTAATGAAAAAAAATAATTTTCTATTTCTATACTATAAATCTGTTAATTATAATTTCGTAAACCAAATCACAAAATCTCAATTTTCTTTAAATAATGAGTTTCAAAAAGTAACGCCGTATTATGCTTTTATAATTTAAATATCAAATATGACGCCACTCAAACGCTCTACTGCCTCCTGATTGGTTAAAATATAAGCATTACTTGGCCAATCACGGACAATTTTATACTATCTCTTTAATTTTTGTTTAGTACCGTTTGTTTGGCTTTCGATTGAGTTTGTTGTCGTGGATTGTTAACAAATAATCTTTAAATGTTGGTTGGGCTGTGTTGGATTATTACGTAATGGATGCATACAATACTTTTTCTATGAATCCATAGAAAAAGTATTGTATGCAATCATTACGTAATAAATTAAGTCAAATAAAAATATCGTCGGTACTCGAGTTTAAGAACCCTCATCATTGTTCATCGATTGTATTAAATTTGTAAAAACAAATATATAGAGTTTCTAAGTTCTAGCGATTGTTACACATTGGAAATGAAAGTGTTTTCATTTCAGAACGAAATCGTGTATGTTATATTACACATCACGGCTAACGCAGTCGTGAGTAATGGGATCTGTAAAGGTTTAAAACACAAAAGTATACGCGATTTAAGTCCGAAAAATATGAGTTCATTTCCAAAAACTGTCAAGTAAACAGAAAATGCCAAATGTGTTTTATAATGTAATTTTTTTGTACTTAGTAAAGTTTCATTTGAAGTCGTCATATTTTTAAATTCACTAGTGTATGTTGGCAACACCACGAAGGAAAAAATGCAGTGGAAGGGAATGGCCTCATTATAATCAGAACCGCTGTTGCCAAAATTCACTCTATCATAATGTTAAACACTATTTAATCTTGATAATGATTGGTCATAGTTTCTAATTTAAAAAGATGTAACAAATTCTGGATTGTTAATATAAATAAAATTTTACTTAGTTGGCATATCGTTGAAAGTTCAATACTTATTATTGCAAGTTACGATGTTTTAATTTTATATTTAAATTTCATTTAATGTGCTGCCATGATGACGACGAACGATTAACATCTATTAACGTTTTTCAAAAAAAGTCGACAATATTGCAGCGATATAATGTTTACCTTCGTTTCTCATAACAAAAAATCCAATACGATAAACAGAATACATAAATTGAAAATTTATTAAAATTAAATAAAATAAGATTTAACGATGATATGAACCAATATGGATGACATTGTAGATATGACTATCATTTTTGCACTCCAAAATAGCAGAATAAGGCATTTTTCCACCATTTTTGAGATTTTGCGCGAGTCAATTGACGCGATCGTAACGTACAAAGCAAAAATAGCGGACTGAGCACTAGTGTGCGGAACTCCGCGTACTGTTGGCACACGTGACACGCCCACTAAGCACTTCAACTGTATTTATTGTTCTGTGGATAATATGCACTCCTATTTATTTATTTCTTTACTGTTAATAATTATGAATTCGTTAAAACGTTTATATAATATTTTAGGTAGTAATTAATCAAGTAAATAACAAGAGTCTTGATGAAGAGAAAAAGAAACCAATAATTTTCATAGACTCGGGACAACACGCAGATCCTAAAGGAACTATCCTAGCTCTTGTTGTAATACAGCAGTTAACTGCTTGCAATGAGAATTCAGAGATGTCTTTAAGGGTTAAGTGGGTGATTCTTCCCAGCGTCAACCCGGATGGAATGGAGTACGGCATATACGTGAGTACTATATTCATCGAGAAACATGACTTTGAAGTTTGTAAAATCAGTCATGAAATCTATCTTACAAAACAACTCAGAAATGTTTCCTTGCGAAACAGCTTCAGGTCGTTGAATAAAACATGATTATTATATAGTATTTTGAAACGGTTGGTTATATTTTAATGAATAATAACGACTTGGCTGTCCCTCACTATTGTTTATCGTACCTTTGTTATATGTTTGTTATATACTGTTGTTAAGCCTATCGATATTGCTGAAAGTTTTATAGTTGTTTGTCGATAATTTAATAAGCATTTTATATGCGTTAAAAAGAAGGGTCACAGCCCATAGAAAATTAACCCAGTCCCGGCGCAAAAGAACCCATCTCAGAATTCAATATTGCATTTTATTTTTGCTCAGGCACATGGAGTTAGATAATTTATATTCATGTATAAACAAAAGCCTTCAACAGTTTTTGTTCTATATTCTTCAAAAACTATTATGAGGAAGTATATGGTGACCGATAAAGGTACGAATAACATAGTAAAATGAAGAAAACAGAAATAAAAAACAATAGGTAGACATGATTTTTTTATATTACATTGTAATCTTGTAATTAATTGTTTACGTGTAATAACACACCCTATGCGGTGTGGTCGAATATACATGGTATCTAGCTCAGTCAGGATTATCAGACGTACTCTCGTGCCATCCAAGGGAACCTGTAGTTTAAAATAAAGACATTAAAACATTGGAACACTGCGGGTGTCAGTAATTCATTCATTTACACAAAAAATGGCTATGTTTATCGCCAGGCTATGCATATTATATCTTACGAAATAGAGCCAACACGTGTGTACATATCATTACATTGATTTATTATAATAATAAGCTAGACAATCACTCCAATTAACCTCGTATCAAACTAGAAAATTCCCGGTACTATGAGTACCAGAGCAACGAAATTAACTCTGGGGAAGTACCCTGAACACCCAGGCTAAAACCAGCTTAGACAAGTTTTTTTCAAAATTGGGTCTACCGGGAATAGAATCTGGGACTTCCTCATCTAGCGCCCATAATGATCTAGGCCACCGACGTCGTCATTTTATTATAAATTATTGTCTCATGTAGACCTACAAATACGTAGCCTAGCGATAAACATTGCTATTTTTTATTTTATTTTATTTATTTATATATTTAGACATTTATTTCAGGCCACATGACCCATGTAATATATACCTTAAGAACTAACATACATACAATATAATATGACAATAAAATAAACTATCAACTAATCTACACGTATTGCACTAGTCGGCGACGTGTGGCACAATCTGGTGTCAGTAACCGGCCGCGGAATCGCCGAAATATGACATCCTTCGGTCAACACTCTTCCTTCATGAAGGCCGACAGATGTTTGGTCGGCACTCTCACCACAAACGAATTAAAACTTACGTTGTGGCGGGACTCCAACCGCTCGACCCTCAAGGTGTATTTGGCTTTTAGCCTGATGTACTCCAATATCTCCTCAGACTTCGTGGAGTAATGTAGTCACGACAGGTACAGTAGCGTCGTCTCTCGGTGCTGTGCCACAGGTTAAGGCTGGTGGGCTTCCTCTTCCTCTTCACCACCTTTGTGAAGCCGTCCTAGTCGCATTGATCCCTCTGCCTCTGTGGTTTTGCAACTTCGGAGACAGGCACACGGGGCTTACTTTTACTCTTCACGAGTTTCGAAATGGCGGGTCGGCTGGTAGAAGCGGTTACAGCGGCGTATGCACGTGCAGGGGCTGACAGGGTGACGGTGACGTTTCCGCCGGGGCGGTGGCGCGGGCAGCAGGGGGTGGCACATCACGCGTGACGGCAGCAGCAATCGGTGACGCAACCATTTGTGCCGACTCGACACTGTGCTGACGGATGCATTTTGCGCCACACGACGCGTGTTACATTAGAGACGTCTAGTGACCTACATACCGAAGCAGCGTCGATTAATAACGCAACTTGGGCAAGCAGCTCACTTATGGTGTTATCCGAAGCAACTCGGCTAGGCTTAACTTCAGGGAATTGATATCCTTCAGCAGCCTGGTAACATCGACGTGGTCGAACGAGACGGGAGGCAGTTTGTGCAGCATCTTCGCCACGAATGTAGGCACGTCGTCCGGGTCAGTCTCCTTCAGGAGTGCGATAACATCCTGTAGACTCTTCACGCCTCCGTCCCTCCGGCGAGATCGCATCTGCTCAGGTTTGCCGAGACTCTCGAACAACAGCATCTTGCCACTGCAAATCTCATCCTCGTTGAAGTCGGATTTGCAGATCTGCACTATGCTGACTTCGTCCATGATATCGTTGGCGTGTTGGATAAACGCCAAAAACTCATTGGCTATGACTTGCTGGGAACCCATTGCCACTTACGCGCAGCGGCCTGGGCCGCATGAAACTCGAATTATAATAATTCTCACTGCATATTGGACGTGTCCGCGCCTTGTATAATATCAAGTGACGGAACTAATAAATCGTGCCCTTGATGGTAAGCTACACGCCTGTCCATAACAGTTGCAGTGCCACTTAGAGCTTTAAATTGCAAAGATCTGAGGGGCACTGCCATTGCGCCCGTCACCCTGAGACATAAATTGACAAGCCTCATGTGCCTGTAATTTCATCAGCACGCTTACCCTTGAAAACCGGAACACAGTAATGCTGACATTACTGCTTGGCGGCAGAAATAGGTAAGGTGGCAGTACTTCCCTGGACGAACTCTTTCACAAGAAGCTCTATTGCTACTAAACTTATGTAATACAACCCAAGGAGCACACTTTAAATGCCTTAAAACTGTTATATCTATAAACAGTCTTAATATGGTATAGATTTAGATAATAGTTCTCTATAAATGGTTTTAGAAAAAGAAGTTGTTCTTATAGATTTATTTCACTCAAGTCCAAATTTTAAAACCTTCTCAATACCAAACAACTTAATTAAGTGTAATCTCTCTTAAGATTTACTCTTATAGTCATTATTTTAAGTTCATCTGTAGAACAACTGATTATTTTTAGTAAAATTGTTCTATACATATCCAGTAAAGCCTATTAATACTCTAAACACTAGTGTTCTTAAGTTTATTCTAGATATATTTAATTTATAGACATTCTGTAGTGTTTGTACTTATTGACAAACACGTTATAGCGCGCCTTCAGTAGATTTTATTTAAAAACATACTACAATTAGGGTTTTTACTCTATTGGACGTTGTAAGAGTTTATGCAAAATGGATAAAGTAAAGAATACTAAAAGATCTGGTGGAGGTGGTAAACCTTGGATATATTCGATACAATCAGCGTTGCCAATGCCAATTGTTCAAAATCCCCAAAAATCACTATAATAATAATAACGTACACACTCAACATAGCCCCGCACTAGGGAAACCTTCTGTCGCGGGTGCCATGGACACACACGTAGACAACCACAAATTACATCCAAACTCACGAGAAAAATAAATGTAGGCCATACAAATATTTCTCCCGACCCGGGAATTGAACCTGGGACCTCTGCATGGCAGTCCGGCATGATAACCGTTCGGCCACAGAGGCAGTAAAAATATTTTCAGTAAGTACTACATTGTGTTATCATAGTTATCATTTAAAAGTGTTATTTTATGCACTAGTATAAATATATAGTATTTAATTTATATTTAAATTAATCGTAAATATAAATTACAAAAGCAATAAAAATAATCAAATAGCTAACTGTCTCTTTCCGACTCATAGCTTGCGTAAAAGACTGAACGAGACCCAAAACGTCAATTTCAATTGTTTCAAATACAAGCGTTTGAAATATTTGGAACAAAAATTTCATAGAGTCGCTTTGATGCTAATGTTATTATTAAAATATTTTTTAATACATGTTAGTAATACTTTCAAATATTGTTGTACTCTTTCTACGGCTTGGGGTTACGAATCAGAAGACCGAAAATACATTTGCCCGAAATAACGTTTGCATGAATTTCCATAATCCCGAAAGTATTTTTTTAGGTTTTTTTTTAGAATATTACAAAACAAACCTAACTTAGTCTACAAACAAAACTTAGTCTTTTCTTTGTAATAAGCATCCAAAACTCCCTAAAGCATAACGGTTTTATTATGAATCGGTTTTCAGGATTATGAAAGTTTGGCTTTACGTTGAATTTGAATTTAATAAAATCGAAACATCGGTACATTTCTTATGGCATTGCATAATAAATGTATTTATTTCAGTTTTCCTCGAGATATATTTACCTATACTTTGCTCACTATGGAGAAATATAATAGCTGAATCGCGACGAGAAGAACATTTTATCCTGAAAATATACAAATTTGTTTGCTCGGCTCATTTCAGACAATCGGATATGTACATAACCAGCAAAGGCTTACGAAAATTAAAAAAAACAGCTTTGTCAACATTGCTAGTTAGAACTAGTTTTTGGTGCCTAGGCATTATATCAAATTTTATTAAATTTTTATTAAAGCTTTGGTATATGATTACATCAATGAGTGAACTGTGCATAGAAAGGAGAGAATACAGGAGTTTATCCAGTAAACATAGCTTGAACTTAAGGAGAAAGTGACAAATATTAACAGAGAACATCTTACACCGCCAAAATGCATTAAAAATCAAAAGTTGGATGAATGACAAAATATACCAACTTAAGAAACAAAGAAGGTAATTGAAGCAGACTGACACTGCAAATTAAATAGGATTTTTTTTAAAGTTTAAGCAATTTGTAGCTTTCACATGCAAACAATGCATAATAATACAAATGGTACAACCTTGATAGCCTAACGGTTTGCACTGTGGGCACTGGATGAGACGTTCCCGGGTTCGATACCGGTAGGATCAATTTAACAAATTAACTTTTCTATATGGTTCTGGTGTTGGTATTCTATTGTAAGACAATCACCTGGTCTGAAACTAGGGAACCTCTGTACATACTCCCCATGAATATCAGAACAACAGAATCCCAGAGCAGAACCAATTTACAAAAGTTTCCCAAATTGGTTCTACCGGGAATCGAACCTGGGACCAAGAACGATGGAATTTATTTCGGGGCACAACTCAGAACACCCAGGCCAAAACAAGTTTCGAAAAGTTCACATTTAGTTTAATAGTTGATTGAGCTGATTTTTTACGGTTTTAAAAAAAATTCTCGATTGACTCGAGAAATCGGGTACGAGAATTCTCGAAACTCAAGAAAAAAATCAGACACCCTAGCTCGTAATGAATGGCATTGTATAAAATTCAACATTTACATATAAAATATATTTATAAATAATAAAGGCTACTCCATATACCTGTGTTCAAGTACTTTTCACTAGAAGCTACATATGGTGCATTTTGGTAAGTTTCCAGTAGAAGCTGAATATGGTGTTTTTTTTACGCCTTTCAATTGTTGCAAGCAAAATTAGACAGTACTGCGATGACATTACAATTTAAATTCAAAGTTTTAGCTTTTTCATATTCCTTTACATGTCACTACGTTTAAATAGGTAGACTTGGGACGTTTGATGGGAATTCCCTACAAATTGGCAACGCTGGATACAATAGTCGTAATTCGCGCTCGGGCCGGTCATGGCCGGCATTTGTTTGTTGACAAATAAATAAACATTGTGAAGTAATTCCGTGTAGTGAAATGATAAAAACAATAGAAATGAGCGCGTAAACTACTGTACTTCAATGTTGTGAATGTGTATTGTGCCGTCTATCAATGGAATACAGTGAAATCATTGTGTGAAATGTGGTTGGCGTAAAGAAATAACCTCAAATTTATAATGAAAATTTTATTTCTTCCAACATAAGTTAGGTATGTCATTAAAATATTCCTTATATTTATATGATAGGGAATTTATCCACCTTTCTAGTCATATATAACACATTCCATATAATTATACAGAATAACGCTTTTTTACGACAAATTTGATTTTTTCAATTGTTTTTTTGACCTAGTGTTTTTATAAGTTTTTTATTGCATAATGCGCTTAATATTTATAAAGGTTTTGTAATACTGTCAAAAGAAAAAATCGCTTAGAAACATCGCGTTTTGTAGACAATCATAAAAACTTCATAGGAGTGTAAGTTCTACAAGGTCAAGTAAACTACAGCAAGTAAAAATAATCTTTTTGTATTCTAAAGTTTTTCTATAGAGAAAGCTATAAAAAAAAGTGTTTTGAAAAAAGCTTTAAATTCTTATCGCCATTTTTATTTTTAAAGAATGACTATGAAGTAGCCGAGAAAATTTTCTTTTCTTTTTAAAAAGTAAATCTAACTTGAAAAAGCCTAGAACTTCTTGGAAATAGTTTGTTTTGTGAGTTATTTTGTATATTTAAGCTTTCTATAAATATTTAAAACCGAAAATCGATAACTGTATTTTTATTAAGTTTATATTTTATACTTAAATATTTAAAATTTAGCGAGCGCATTACTTTTATGACAATGTATTTAAAGTCGCACGTCAATTTGCGCTTTCCAACCGATTAAACATTGCGCGAAAAAGTCAGAAATATTATATCTAATTTCGCCATGTTGCAATTTATATAGTTTATATTTTGTAAGCCATTAAACATGAAGTCTATTAGTATTAAGAGAATTGCGTCCTATGTTTGTAACGCTTTAGTATTTTGGTTTTAAAATAGCATTACTAAGAAAACTATCATAGACTATAAATTATCTAAAAACTATCTACAAGACTAAATAAAAACTGTCTACATTCTACAAATGGTCTTGTAGCATTCTAGAAGGGTTACTTCAGAAAAAAGATAAGAATGACTCTTAACACTACCTACAGATAGTTTCTCAAAGCACTCTTGTGATCTATTAATAAAGTTGTGCCCACTTTTACTTTAAATTATCTAGAAACCTTCTTTGAGATATCTTGAGGGAATTTGAACTCTTAAAATATTCAATCGAATTAAATTCTATTAGATGTCTTATAGTATATATTTAGATATGGGTGTGCTGCTTGGGAAGCAGAATTCTGGCATAGGTTTCTTTTGCGCCGGGGCTGGGTCATATTTGATCCTTATCCTTTATCAAATGCTTTTTCAGAATCGCCTATCCTGGAAAAAAAATATGAGACCATCAGACGATGGTTTGGCCTTTGGAGTCGATTTGACTAGGAACTTTGGTTTTCAATGGAGTGCATGCCCAAAAATCAAAAGCCAATTTTCGGTATATTATCCTGGTAGTGGACCCTTTTCTGAGAATGAAACTGTATTCATAAGGGATGCGCTATTAACATATAAAGATAAAACGAGGGCGTATATATCGATTCGTATGAATGGACATTCGTTACTCCACCCTTTTGCCTATGCAGATGTGAAAATCCCAAACAAATTGCAAGTTCTGAAATTGGCCAATGAAATTACAAATAGGATAAATCAGAGAGCTGGCGTGGTCCAGATTTTCGTCAATGAATCTATGTTGAGTATGAATGGAAAGGTTCGCTGTGGTAGCAGCGTCGATTACGCGTATGATCTTGGTATTCCGTTTTGTTTTGAGATGCGCGTATTCCTCGGCCGATCGACTGCAGTCATGGCCCAGTTTCAAGCTGTGCCTCGAGGTTATAATAGGCAGCTTCTCACGGGCTACGTAAGTGGATTGAAGAAACTGTATGATGTAATAGCTGCGGAAAATCATCCTGACCGAGACACAAAAAATTACCTAATGAAAAAATTGCAAGTTACTGATTTGCGATAAAAATAAGGCTTACTTAAAAGGTGAAATTAATAAAATTTATAATAAATTCTTTGTTTACGTCTGTAATATTATTTCAATATATTCGGTTAGTAACATAAAGAAGTAATGCTTTGTATTGTTTTATTTCTCACAGGTACGTTATATAAGTTCTTATGTCGTATATGTATTGGGGCGCGTTCCCATTTTGTCGTAACGTTTCATTTATTGTTGGGCGACTGTCGCGTCTAGCCTGTTCCCATATTACGACTATCTGTCATGACAGTGTCGTGGACGTTTATTTTATCGTTGAGCGACTGGGAGCGTTGACGTTGAGTGTGTCTAGCTGTTCCCACTAGATAATTTATTGCTTCCCGGCAACTGTCTTGTCGTTTGCACGTCAGAATCGTTTGAAGCTATGATTATCTGTCGTCTTATTTTTATTGTGACGTGTTATTTATCGTTGGACGACTGTCGTTCTAGCTCTTCCCATAATCGTGACAGTCTATCGTTGTAACGTTGTAACAAAAACGTCGGAATGACAGTTAATCTTGTTTTAGTATTGGTGAACAACTTCATTTAAATATAAAAGCCACGACACTTTCTAAACTGCACGACTATCTGTCGTCACAATATAATGGGAATGCGCCCTATCTTTGCTTTTAGATTTTCTCTTTATTGGTGTCAAAAAAGGGTAACCATAATAATTTAACCACAAAGGGGTGCACGAAAGGAGCCTCCCCGCACGATGTATCATTCCTTTCCTGTGCATCAGGCGCACCCTGGGCAAAAAATGGCGAGTACCTTACGCCGCCGATTGGAAAAACCTTTCTCCACGATGGCAGGTATTATAGTGTATGCTATCGATAGGATAAGAAGAAGAATACCTTAATTGGCGAATTATTGTTTTAGTAATAAAAGGTGAAGATTGACAAATTTTCGCTTCAGTGAAAAATCGCCAAGGTAATATTTGGCTTGCTTTTAACTGGTCTCGATTGTCTGTTATAACGCGTGCATTATTCAGGGCGTAAAAAACGCCGTGTTTGACACGTTTTGGTTGTTTTAAATATTTGTTACAATATAAACAAGTCTGTTTATACCATAACAAATAAATCGCTCTGGTAGCTTAGTGGTTTGACCTACTAGCATGAACTTTTCGGTGAAGGAAAACATCGTACATATCGAAAAAGGTTCACAACACTCGGAAAACGTATGAAGTCGCCAACCCGCATTGTATGGCATAAATCCTCGCTTGAGAGATGATCCGTGCCCACCAATGGGACATTATTTATTTTTATTTATTTTATTTATTTTATTGTTTTAAGAAAAAAGTATACATAAATAATGTAAAACACCGTTAAACCATATAAGGGGGTAGATGATGAAGCAAGTCTGTTGTATTGCAGTGAGCACTGAAAATCATACTCAAGTCCTTGCCATTAGGGTCGTATTTCCAGTGCTTCAAATCATACTCAAGTCTGCTCAAATCCTGACTTGAGCATTGAGTACAGTTCTGGAATACGACCCTAAGTCTCCATACCAGTGTTTGCAGAACAAATATGCGGGTGAGCCTATTTTATATTTTTAGATAAAAATTATCTATAAAGTAACGTTTTACATCGGTAAGCGGAAGTTAACGGTTTTTGCACCGTTTTGTATTAGGAGTATTTATGAACAACCAAGTTGAAAACTGTTTAATAATGTCGGTTCGTAAAACAAATAAGCAAGTTGTTAACAAAATTATATATGTGATGGTGAGGAGTTTTTAAAATTGTTTTAGAGTAGGAATCTAGATTGACTCGTCATTGTTTCTATGTCTGAATACCCTATAAACTATCTATAGAGGTTTCACGGTGACCGTTTTCACCCCTTGAGACGGTTTATTGTTAACGTACTACAGCCGCGTCTTCACTGTATCTGTGATTTTGTTATTAAGCTTACCGGAATAAATCTTATTTTTACATGTAGTCGGCGATTTCTTCTTTAAATCTACATATTTAAAATTATTATTATTTGTATAGTACATGTACATACACAATTTAAATAATTAAAAGAATAAAACGTTCTTTAGCACATTAAAAATTGTTTATTTTACTATTTTTGATATTTATCATCACAGGTGCATAACTATGAGGAATGTTACGTAGACATATTAAACATACTACGGGACAGGGAAGAGGAAATCTGTATTGAAATCGTCGCAATATTGGTATAATTGGGTTCGTAGTATTAGAGCTCCTTGTCAACGAGTTCGTTCAGGGATGTACTGCCAGTATACCTATTTCTGCTGCAAAGGCTTTGAAGATTTTTGTCTGGTGCACCTGGTGATAAGCGACACGCCTATCCATAACAGTTGCAGTGCCACTCAAAGATTTAAATCGCAAAGATCATATATTATGAGCACTGCTACTGCGCCCGTCACCCCGAGACATAAGTTGACAAGTCCCATGTGCCTGTAATTTCACCAGCACCCTTACCCTTCAAGACCGGAACACAGTAATGCTGGCATAACTGCTTGGTGGCAGAAATAGGTAAAGTGGCAGTACTTCTCTGGACGAACTCTTTCACAGCTCTACTGCTTTAGTAGCAGCTAACGGGTTAAGTGTGCTCGTGGTACTACATGCAAATAGGACTAGTGTACTTTATGTCTCAGGGTGACAGGCGAAGAGGCAGTGCCTTCATATCTTTGCGATTATAGCTCTTAGTGACACTACAATTGTTATTTATTTATTCAGTGAGACTGGGGCTGAATTAAGTATGATCAGGTCTCTAATAGATCACAAATTGTAACCATGAAGGGAACATGCCCTACACCTAGTTGTAGCGGTATAGGCATGCCACAGGGATCGATCCTTAGACCGGTCTTATTTTTAATTTATATTAACGATCTGCCGCGTTCATTACCAGATTAGAACTTCGTCAATTTATTTGCTTACGATACACATGTCGGAATAACCGATAAAATTATCGTTAATGTACAGGAAAAGAAAAACGAAATTCTCAATACTATCTTCGTTTTCTGCAAATGGTATAGTTTAAACTCAAAATAAAAAACAAAAATAATAAATTGCAGCACAAAGAAAAATAAAAATCTTGTAAATTGTCAGGAAATCACTTTTCTGGGTTATATTGTTGACAGTACTTTGAGTCATACCTCTCACATTCACGAACTGACAAAATATCCAGTGTGATTGAAGTTGAAACCTTTATTAGATAAAAACGCTTTGATTAATATCTACTTCGCTTATATTCAGTCACTTTTAAGTTATGCAATCGCTGTTTGGGGAAATGGAAGAGAGTGTTGGGGTGAAGTCAGGATGGATATTCGTAAGTCATTAATTTTAGTTTAGATTAGTAACGTTTTTAAATAGAAAACGACCGTGACACTGAAACATATTAACTAAAATAACGTATACACCGAAGGATAAGGAGCTATTGAATGTTCCTGGGGTATATAAGATTCCCTGCTCCTGTGGCAACAGTTACATAGGGGAGACCGGCCGTAACATATCCACACGACTGACGGAACCCACACGTAATATGAAGAATCGGGATAATCGGGGCTCTGCAGTGACGGAACACTCATTGGATTCGGATTCGACTATATTCGTTTTGATAAAGTGTCCGTACTGGCGAGAGAAAACCATTTCATTCCGCAGAAAGTACGTGAAGCTATCGCGATTGGACGTCATTCGAATTTCAATCGTGATAGTGGATGGTCGGTACCCCCCGCCTGGAAAAAAGTGTCAGGTACTACGTCAGTGGTTAGTGTAGATGAGACTTTAGAAAGTGATGTTGTTAGTGTAGTGTGCCATCCTGCGTATGACTTTAATAAAAATGAAGCAAGCGAGGGTAGTTTCCCGCCGGTGCCGCCTGATTTTTTCTAAATGGTTCTGGTCTGGGTGTTGCTCTAGTACTCACAGTATAGAGAATTCTCAAGTTTGAGATCACGCGATTGGTGTGATTTTCTGGCAGATTATTGGTAATAAAACCGAAGCAACTAACAAATCTAAACCAATAATTATAGAAGCGGGCCAATTCTCAGGAACAGAACCTGTTAGGATGATCCTAGTGTTCATACAACAACAACGGTCGTCAAATATACAAAAATGATTAGAAAAGTCAAGTGAGTCTTCCTGCTTTGTGTCAACCCGGATGGGATGGTGTACGGCAGATTCGTAAGTATATATTTTTAAACAATGAGTCTTATGATGGTCTAATCGCAATTATACAAACAAATCGCGAAAGTAACCGATAACCGCGCTATCATAGCACAACAGGTCAGAATAAGTAATTGTTGATGCGATTTTTATTGTAGTACAAGCACTTAAAGGTGCCAACAATCTCGACGCATACTTCAAAAGCTGGCCGGAGATTGAGGGTAGAAAGTATTTTGGAAGACACTCGCTTAGTGTGCAATTGCAAGTATTCATTGCTATGAAAAATTAAAGCAATTGCAAAATATATATTTTTTCAGGATACAGTTCAGCGCAGAAAACATTGAGACCATCTGAAGAATTTCTTGATTGCCATTATGCAGGAAGACCAAGCATTATCTTTGCTTGGAACCCATTTTGGAGAATGAAACGTAGTCCATAAGAGATATACAAAACAAGTACAAACACCAGGCGAGAGCGTACTGTGTCAGTACGCCGAAATTGGCACTAATTGCTTTATCTTTTTGCATCTTCTAAAAAGTCTCTATCTTAATGAAATAAAGAAAATGGCTTCAGTAATTACAAATATGATTAATCAGCATGCCGACATAATTAATATTTTCATTCAAGTCGCTATTAAGTCAATGAATTCACACCTACGCCGTGGTCAGTGTCGACTACGCGTACAATCTTTGTATACCTTATTCTTTCGAGATACGTGTCTTCCTTGAAACTGAATCTGAACTTAGGGTCCTGTTCCATGAACTACTCACAACATTCATAAATTCTCTTGTTTTCGGCTACATCAGCGGATATAACAAAAAAATATGAATTATTTGTCGTAATCACACTTGCAATCGTATTGAAAATTAATAATGTTTTTTAATTTCTGTTTTATTTCTCGTCATGTAACGTTAGTTAGA